GAACTTCTTACCGTCGACGACGTAAGGTCATCGAGACCCGGGCCGGAAAATTTATAATTTTGTGTTCCGCGCTACTGGTGCACGATAGAAGAAATTGAATGCTTACATTTTTGACGCCATGACGTCCAATTTTTTTAGACTAAAGAGCTCCCTAAAGCGCTTTTAAAACTTTTCAGACTATGTACCTATATGCCATGTATTTTTTACTGGGCATGCTGTTTACTGGCATGTATACGAATCGTTTATTCCCGGTAACCTTTTGCTTTGTAAATTAAGCAGTCGTACAGAAACAATACGGATTAGCGCTCCGAATTTTACTTACCATTAGGTGCAGATAAAGATATCAGGACTGCTCGCCGCAATTATATAGCAAAACTTTAATGACTAGACATTTTTACGACAATTTGGCGGCTAAGGATTTCAGGAAAAGTCCCATTGTAATCGAAAAAAAAATAGCTTCGAGGCTGTTGAACGTACGGTTTCATTTTGACTTTTGTGAATTGATCAATGCTTTACTGTAGTACGAAGTCTTGACAATAACCGCAGGCAAACGTAACCCGGTATTCACGGAGAGTATAATGCCTTCTCTTCGATTTCACAATCAGCTTATTTACATTTTGTGAATGCTGCTGACCGATGGACTTAAACAGCTAAAATAGCAGCGCTTTACTTAATTTCGATTAATCCGATTTTGAGTATTCTAATATTTCAAAGTAAAAAACACGGAATCATGTTGCTGCGCGCGGTGTTCATCGTTTGTTTGTTGGCAACAACGGTTGTTTCCGGTAATTCCCAAAATTATTGTTTTATTCATTTAACCAGACAGAAGTACTGCATGAGTGACGCAACATTTATGTTGTAGTTCTTGCTGTGAGTCCTGCGACAGCTTCGGAAGGCAAGTCGAAACCAGACAGCGGTAACGGCGGCAAGTCCGTTCCAAAGCACAGAAGCTGCCCACCGGGAAAATGTCGGAAACTGAACTGTAAACCCCACGGTAAGAAGAGATTTTAAAAATTACAATGTCTATTTACATTAAATTTGTTTCGCTCAGTTGATGTAACCATAATACGAGAATTTGATTATGTTTTCGTCTTTTGCAGAGTATCAGTGTACTTGCTCCTGTGTTCCGGTCTCATAACCCCAGAAGTTTTTCAACGGAATGGCGGAAACAAGCGGCTGCCATGTGTTCTCAATGTTTTGCAGTAGTACAGTAATTTGCCTCTGGGTGAAACGGATTAAGTTTTTTCATCTTGGCTGATAATGAATGAGTGCTTCTCAATGAGCACTGAATGAGTTACGTAATCCAAGTTATCCATCAGTTCGATATGAAAAAATGTTATTTAGAAATTTGTTTATTTATGAAGAAAATTTAGAAATCAATTAGCCAGTTCGCGTTTTTCATGGTTAAAACCGATTGCCTTCTAGAAGTACATTAAAATTTAGGAAACCGTTATAGGCACCCCCTAAAACCCCCGTTTATTATAGGCACCACTTTTCACACCCCGTTAATTATAGGCACCCTTTTTTGAATTAAAAGTTATAATAATATTATGTGAAAGGAATATAATTCACATATTCCAAAAATTTATTCTACCATTTTATACAGTTGCTATGACCGTAAAAATAACAGACCATATACAACTATATATATATATATATATATCAAGGAACTAGATCTATAATACAACTACAAAAAGCTGAGGCATCGAGATCGGAAAAACCAGAACCTAATAAAAAAAACTGTAAACGCCATTAGACTCAGCATGTTCAAAAACTGTGTCACATGCATTTTATTTCTTAAAAAAATTATTTAAACCCGTCCCACCGATGCCGGTTTCGGCAGAACTGGCTTCGGTAAAGTTTCAAGGTGACCTTGAGAATAATAGCAATGCCAGTTGCTTAGAACATTTATTAAAGTGTATGTACTACAATAAATTTGTAGTTATTTTATTTGCAAACATGTTGAATTTTAATCGCGTGATTGCTGTTCAAATGTTCAATTTTTAAATGCCTAAAAAATCCGATTCCCTTGATTGAATTAGCCCAGGTTTCGAAGGAAACAAATGCCAGTGAACAAAACTGCTAAGGCAGTGAGTGACCCAACTACCGCCACTGTACAGTGAACAAAACGAAATCACTAGCTGAGTGATGACCGAGCAATAAATCACTACCCTAGGTGAACAAAATCGCTAGATGAGTCAGTGACTGAGCTACCACCACTGTCCAATGAACAAAACTAGATGAGTAAGTGACTGAGCTACCACCACTGTTCGGTCAACAAAATCGCTGGGTGAGTGAGTGACCGAGCTACCACCACTGTCCACTGAACAAATCGCTAGATGACACCGTTAGTGAGTGACTGAGCTACCACCACTGTCCACTGAATAAAACTGCTAGGTGACACCGTTAGTGAGTGACCGAGCTACCATCGCTGTCCAGTGAACAAAGTTGCTAACTGAGTGAGGGACTGAGCTAGATTCCTTGCCTAAGAAGTTCTACAATAACTGCTAAGGCAGTTAGTGAATTTACTAACGAATTACTGCCAATGGAATGATTTGTTCAAAGCGGCCGTGGATCACAAGAAACGCGGAGGCGAAGCCGCAGCGGTTTCTTGTATATATATATATATATATATCTATATATAAGAATTTGTATTCTTAAATAGTAATGCAGTTTAAGAACTATTTAAGAATTTGTATTCTTAAATAGTAATGGATAATAGTACAGCAATTTTTTCTGGCATCGAGTTAAGGGAAGTGGCCCGGTACATGGTACCAAATTCATGCACATGCACGAAATCTTTCACTTTCGCGCACTCCCAAACCGTTTTTTCTTTAGTTTTATGACATTCTGTAGTCAAATGATTTGTATACACAGGCCTGAAAACCGTTTGCGCGCGCAACATCCGGTTCGGGAGTTATGGCTGTAAGAAAATTCCCAATAGTTTAAATGCTTTCAGGTGTACCAAAAGTCTCATTATGGACCGATCTCCTTCAAATTTTGCATGTAAATGCACATGGCCATGAAGATCGTTTTTACACCGATCCACTGTTCTAGCATGTTTTTCAAATTTTAAAATGAATGAATTTCAAAAATTTTAAAATTCATTTTAAAATTTGAAAAACATGCTAGAACAGTGGATCGGTGTAAAACGTTCTTCGTGGTTATGCATTTACGTGCAAAATCTGAAAGAGATCGGTCCATAATGAGACTTTTGGTACCTGAATGCATTTAAACTTTTGAATTTTCTAACAGCCATAACTCGCGAACCGGATGTTGTTTCAGGCCTGTATACGAATCATTGACTACAGATTGTCATAAAACTAGAGAAAAACGGTTTTAGAGTGCGCGAAAGTGCGAATTTCCCATAAATACATCAGGCTTTCCAGCCTATAATAGGACTGTTAGGTAAATCAGCCAGCCTAGAACGAATTAATATCGCGTCTTCTACTGTGACTGACTAGAAGGTCATCTTTCGCGGTAGTCAGCTCATTCACTGCCTTCCTTCCAAGCCGTTTAGGACACCGTGTGATTTCCTCAGCCTGTAACGCTTCGGCCAACCATTCCCTTTGCGCTGAGGCTTTCGCGAATACAGTGCTCGGCTGCTCGCCGGCGATACTCCAGAGATCTTTCACACGTATTTCGTTTAAATCGTGATTAACCATTCGCTCTTCCGTACGGCCACCTCGGTCCACTTTTTCCGCTTTGTTGCGGACAATGTCTTGGGCTGTTACAGCTTTGCCAGTCTCTTTAGCAATTTGACGTTGAATTGCCCGTGCAGGAATGAATGATTTCCGCATTTGTACTAACTACCTTTTCTGCCTGAACATGGCTTAGGCGACGATTTTCCGGTAGATTTTTCCACCTGTCTGCTGTCAGTGGATGATTATGGCCCATTTCTCGTTCCAAAATCATCCGTAGGACGTGGCCGCGAATGCTGATTGCCAGCCTGACGCGAGCTGGGCACTGGTTTCGTCGGCTATGAGTAAATTTCCGAGCGCCAACGCCCTTCTTTTCGTATTCTTTGTGGCGCACGCATTCGTAGAAAATCTTTCTGTACTTAAGGGACGGCTCCAGAGCTTCTCCGTTCTTGAACTTTTCGGACCGTCGTATTATAAATGTTTGGAACGTTGCTTCCTGATACGTCTTGAAGTCTTTCTCGAGTTCTTCAAATGAAGGGTATTCGTCCTTCAGGTCAGCGACGCTGTCGAGTGAGGGGAATACTAAATCAGTTAAGGCTTCCGATGGCCCCGATGCCGGAGGGCTGCTTGAACCCGCCATAATATGATATTTGCCATTGCCGGTATTGAGAACCAAATTATTGATTGTATGTATAACGCTATTACACTGACCTTTTGTTAAAAGTAAGTTTTTACGGTCATAGCAACTGCATAAAATGATAAAATAAATTTTTGGAATATGTGAATTATATTCCTTTCACATAATACTATTATAACTTTTAATTCAAAAAAGGGTGCCTATAATAAACGGGGTGTGAAAAGGGGTGCCTATAATAAACGGGGGTTTTAGGGGGTGCCTATAAGGGTACCCTAAAATTTAACTGCAACTACTAGCGTATGGGTTGTGTGGTGCATTCTATTCGAATTGCTTAATGCTTATATCTATATATTTTTCAGCACATAAGTAATGTGCACAATTGTACATAAATACTAATGGAAAATGATTTATATTCGTGGCCGAAATGCAGCATGATTAATGTGCAATGCGGAAAACTTTTTTTGTAAAAACCGGTTGCTGCGTTGTCAGTTTCCATGACAAATAGAATCAGATAAAACTTGCTCACATTAAACGTAAAGTTTACATAAAACATTCCAGAAATTTTAGTCTACTGTAGCCGCTCGCGCAGAATGTACCTGGTACATCGTGTGTGCAGTTCCAGCGTGTACACAAAAACGTACTTAAATACCACCCATCCGGAAACAAGAAACGGGGAAATTTGTACGAGTCATTCATGTTCGTAAATGCACATCTAGCCGAGATGTGCATGTGTGCCTGCGTTTGTTCCCTGTATACGCTCTAGCTCCCGTTTCCGGATGGGCTTGTAGCGTACAAAAAAATAACTTTGCCGGAATCCAAGATTGTCGACAACTATTTGGAATGTGTCAAATTGTTAATGTTTTTCCCTAACCGCACAGGCGATTATTTTTGGTTTTTTGTCCTCGCATTTTTCGCACAGTGCATTTGATTTTAGACATCTTTGATCGCACGATTATGTTGCGGCATTTGCGATGGGGATACATGACTGTAGTTTTTCAGAATCATTAGACTTTCGAATCGCTGCATCTCGGAAAACTAATACATTAACGTCTAATACTGCTTATTTAAAATGTGTTTCGGAACGCTAGAACGCTAGAAGGTTGTGCGTGGGAAAGATGGAATAATACTGACCGTGAGCAGTAGTCACATAAAGAAAATAAACTGTATGCCAAACAGTATTTCAAAATGACTTAATGACTTCTTTTTTTTAAAACTCTATTAATTGTGCACAATATGTATTGAACCTTATAAGATTTTTTAATTAACATTAGGATTTCGATTTGTTTTCGGGGATGCTTCACGATAAATGCACGGAACCAATACGATGCCATCACCATTTGGCACAAATTAACAAGCCAGAAATAACCATTTGAACAATTTCTGAAATCAGAGAAAACTCAGAAAAGTTAAATTTGTCAGTCTGGCCATCCGTGGAGTCATGTATTGCGTAATACATGCGCAACAAAGGAGCTTTCGAAACTGTTCTTGTAACCAGTATATGTACATAATAAAAAAAGCGCTATTGCCGATTACGCAGTACGAGGATTTTCATGTAAGCACAATTATTAAACATGCACGCTTTAATTTGGTTGCAGATTGTAGCGAGCGTATAGCACTATGAGTCAATTAAATGGTGTTTTCAAATAAAACGTCAACAAGTCTTGTTTTTCAGCTAACCGCATACATACAGTTCATACATGCAGACAGTAGATTTAATTGGCGGTTGCATGTTGTAGATTGCCATATAAGTTTGTCTGCTTTGCTGAATTCGACTTGTAGTTCAAATCGCCGAACCGCTTACTTTCGTTTCTGCTCGTTTGAAACAGTGGCAAAATGAATAATAAAATTATGATTGTCTCTTCCTTTTTGGCTCTCCTCCTAGTGGCGACCTTTGTGACACCGTCAACCGGTAACAACGATCCATCGAAATAATTTATTATCTAGACAGGTTTATCAGTGTTTTCTTTGCGGTGTTTTGACAGGAGCGCCGGCTAAGGAGGGCTCTTCACACATTGCAAAGGCATGTAAGCCGAAGCCGTGTAGAAAGCCTGACTGCGAACCTCCGAGTAAGTGTCAGAAAGCCGTATTACTACGCTTACATATTAAACATAATTGTGCATCGGCGTATGATAAAAATTAATCCAGTTTGATCTGTGGGAAAAAGTAACAAAGTTAGCAAACTAGGACTCGCATTTTGTACTTCATTCGAACGATGCATAAGGTAGAAAAAGTCGAATAGTTTGTTGATCTACCAGTAACGTGCCCGTTTATATTCGTGTGTGTGCTTTTGTAGTGATAGTGCCTCCGTGTGGATGTAGCTGTGTTTTGCCAGAAGACCGTGGTAAAAAAGAGTGACGAATTTTTCGAAACGAATGCCTCCAGGCCAGACAGACTGAAGAGGAAAAAAATGTCTGGCTCGCACGTTTCATCTTCCTACGGTGCTTGAGGATTTTTTATTGTTTTGTTGTGGAGTAGGTACTCTGTAATCAATCGAGCTTTACATTACAGTTTTCAGCAGCTACTAACTGTTTAATTTTTGGATTTTTGACCTTTCACGTGAAATTATATAAATAAAGTACGAGTTCCTAATCGTCATCTGCCAACGGCACTTACTTTTATCAGAAAGCATCGGCTTTCAAAAATAAGTTTACAAAAGCTGTCTAATAAGCATTTATCAGTTCGGTCTAATATCCTAACTGCTTGATCTTTTTCTGTATGGAAACCAGATAGGTAAACAAGTAAATGTTTGACCTCAGGCAATAGCGTAGTGATCGACAATAACAATGAGTACGCGATCGTATTGATCTTGATGTTGTTGCTTAGTTAAACATTATATCTAAACCGTTTAATTAATCGCATCTTTTTTATTTGTGTGCATTACGTATTGATGCGAGTGCGAACATTGTACGGGTAAAATGCGCCTTTCCGTGAACCACAGTACCTTTAAATATTCCACAATCCACATTGGAACCTTAAATGCGCTTGCTGGTGTGCTATTAAAACATCCAGAACTCTGGAAACTCCGTTGCTACTTCAAGAAAAACGCATTCGTTTCACGTATAGTAACAGGTTAAGAACATCACTCCAACGTAGTATACTGGAGCCGTTTGATAGTTAAACGTACACAGTTCATTCACGAATACACCTACTCTAGATTTATTCGACGCTCAGTGTAAATCAGGTAGGGTGCCGAAGTCGCCGGCGGCTTCCACAATTGGCTGAATTGTAAAATTTCTGCTGGAAGACGGCCAAGCCACAACTGCATTAACGATATCCTGCGACGTGTTCTGGTTTCGGCAGGCATCCCCGCGCGAACGGAACCTAGAGGCATGCACTACGAAAACTACACACGCCCAATCACCACTTTTCTCTGGGCCAGCTAGGCCGCCAGAGGGCTGTGTTTAGCGTGGGGTGTCATCACCGTTGCTCGCTCTTTTTTCACACCAACTGCAGCGTAAAGGCCGGAGCGACAGCCGAGCATGCCGAAGCCGACAGCAAGAAAATACAACTTCCTGTTGGAACAAATGACGTCGTCCGCTTAGTCTGGGATGGCATCGTGCTGGGGTCTTTCGCAACGGACCCAAGTGAAGAAAAGCATCGAAAGAGAATTAGAAAATCTTCGTCTCGCTCCGGTCAGTTATGCTTACACTTATAGCTAGGTACAATTACATGTTAACTGAACACTTTCTTGCATTGAAAGGAGATAAGCAAGTTGAAAAAGTTTGACCTCAGGCATTAGCGTAGCAATCAACAACAATAATATTTTTTATGCAATTACGCGATCGTGCTTTTTATTTTTAATTGGCTAATATTCTTGTGTGGAAACCAGATTCCGTGAACACAGTATTTTTCAGTTTAGCAATGTAACACTACAATTTGCCCATCCGTATGCTGGCTGGTTTGTTAATAAAAGACCCAAAACCCTTCAAGCTTCGCTGCAGCTGCAAGGAAAGAGCACTCGTTCTACGAGTATAATGACATCAGTTCAGGATAGTACAGATGCACTACAGTGCAATACTTACCTTTGTTATTGCATACGTACAAACTTTCATTGATAGTGTTTTCAATTAAGCAACAACAAGTTCTGATTTGTCGCCTAAATCCGCGACCACACAATTCGACCACACATGATTACTGTTAGATTTATTCGACTGCCGGTGTAAATCGGCATATAAACCTGTCAGTTCCTTGCACTGAAATTTATTTCCAGGTCAAATTACCAAACTTATTTTGCAAACTTGTTCGCAAAATCTGGTCAATAATGCTCGTCCGAGTCGTTCCTGTATTTGCGATCCTTCTCCTAATGGCTATCTTCGTGGCACCATCAAACGGTAAGAACGATTTATTTGGTACTTGTTCCGACAAAGTTATCATCACCCTATCTGTGTTTTGTGCGCTTTTATTTTCAGGAGCGCCATCTAAAGAAAACTCTCCCAACATTGTGAAGGCGCCATGTAAACCGAAACCTTGTGTGAAGCCTCATTGCAAACCCCCAGGTAGCATGCGGCACAGCCGTACTAAATAGTCAAATTATATAATTATTGTATAATTTTTAGTATCTCGACATATGATAGAAACGTCGATTTCCCTGAGAACGAGTATAGCGAGAATCATACTTGTGTATTTTTGTTATGTAGCACAGCCTAATCCAAAGTGCATAATAATTATTATGACTGTTTTTAATTAAGCAAAAGGGGAATTAATTCGCGCTTTTGCAGAGGTGTGGCCTGGTCCTTGCAGTTGTAGCTGTGTTCTACCGAAAAACAAAACCACTTCATAATAAAGCGGCTTCCTTCTCTTCTTTTGCGCCTCTCATGCAAAGAATGTTTTGATGCCGCCAGTGATGCGGAATAGTTAACCGGGATGTTTGGCATTGCTGATAAAAGCAACAATATGGTTTTCTCAGTTTTATTCGTTCGTTTGTTAAGACGGTTTACTCGTAACTGTTTATATAAATTTTTCTTCCAAGGTAGTGGATTTACGTAATAAAGCGAATTTGCGAGTATGTGCCAACGTCGTATTTTGTTTTCCTTGGCTTTCGTCAATATGTTCGCCAAAACATGCAAAAGGAGCAAACTTTCCTTTAATAAGTATCGTGTCAGAAGTACAAACGTAGTACTAAATACAAACATTTATAACAGAAACACTTATAACAGAAACACTGCAAAAGGATATAATTCAGACCGTAGCAAACAGTTCACAGTAACAAAATACTAGTCAACTGAGTTTTTGGTTGCTTACCAGAATGTAGCCCTAATCGTACCAGTACAACAGTACGAGTATTCAGCTGTCTTGTACGAATAAAGTACTTTATTCGTAAAACACAGTTCTATCATATCGGTACAAATCCTGGAATTTCTGGATTTGCACCGATATAACAGAACAAAAATATCACCTGAAGCGCTGCCCGTAGTATTTTACTTGTCAGCTAAAGCGTCTAAATTGTTCTGAAGGTTCCGTTCTAACTATAAAGAAATGATTCGTAAGTAGTTTTATGGATACCATTTGCACAGGATCTGCACAACGAACTGGACAAAACTGACCTTTTAATTAAAACCGCTTTAAGGGTAAGTTGTTTTTTTAAAGTGATATGCGTCGAAGCGCAAATGAAGCAAATTGTATAAGTGGTTCTTGTATAATTCCACAGAATAAAGCACCGAAGCGACTTACGTACAGTGATCAAACAGTTATCTTGACCCTAAGCGTTAACACATAAAATTTTATGTGTAGTGTGACTGATTTATATGAGTGTAATCTAAAAATCTCCACGTTCTCATTTCATTTCCCTTCACAACTCACTGTTCTGTAACTTCTTCGCCTATAAAAAATGCAGTCTGTCAGTGTAACGGGATTCCAGTCTAACGCTTCTCACAAACGATCGATCAACCAACCGATGACATTAATTTTCTGCCCCCAAACCTGTTGCTGTTGTGATTCTGCATTTCCGTTATTCCCGCACCATCATAGCTGATAGCAGTGACGACGAGGTAGACTACTGGGCCGCCGGGAAGGCAGTCCAGTTGTTGTAGATTTACCTCTACTGTACATTGTAATATGCATCAATTACTTACATACTTAAAAATGTTTGATGTTGCTTGTGAAATAGTTAATCGTGTTTAATGTTGTTTGTTTGACGTAAGCCAAGACATGGTGCAGGTGCATAATACAGTCATTTTAACTGTTTCTGAATGGTAGGTACAAAGTAGGAAATTCGATGTGCAACATTACAAGAAGGCTGTAATATTGTGATGTTGCAGTGACCGCAAACTCAATGAGTCAACGCTGCATAAGAAGTAAAACATCAAGTCCAGATTCAAAGTTGGAGCTCTCTCTGTCTTTCCTGTAAAAATTTCTGTCGAAATGCGATAGACTGAAAAACTTCAATTCTGGAGCATCAGAACGCCATTCAAAACGTTTTTCTGCACTAATTGTAAGATTTTTGAACCATGCTGGTAGTCATAAATTTTGCCTCTGTCATATACTACCGCAACAGTATTGAATTTTATGAGCACGCGCTTTTCGGGCAAGGGAATAAGTTTTATACAAGACGTCTGTAACTATTACAGGAACAAAATTTCAAAAATTCTGATTTATCCGATCCTGCCTTCGTGTGGATGACAGAGGTCGCATTTTCACATTGTATCTCCAACGACAGACGCGGAAGCACACTTTGTTCTTGTGAGAATATCTGTGGTTCATGTCCTTCATTGGAATCGACACAGCAGTTAATAAAAGGTTATAAAAAAATACGATTATCGATGTAATTAAGTGCTTTTAATTTCGGGAACAACAGAAACACAAAAATGATTTGGCAGACTATCGCTTTAGTCAAACACTTTGAGTAAGTCAGTAGCTACAAACTTCGACAAGTAAATGCAGCAGAAAGTACATATTTAACAATATTTATCAGGTAAGTAGCATTTATCTCTTATTTATCTAGCTGCAGTACCTACCAGTCAATAGAAACAATCAATAAGTGCATTTTGCGCTGAAATATGCACTACATAATTACGAGTTTGTATATGAAATAACATGTTTACACCAAATGTCGCGAGGGCATATCAATCTTATTTGTTAGTAGTGTGTAATTAATGATGTTTTCAAATCGAGTGTCAACAAGTTTTTGTCTTTTCTGCTCATTCCACTATCCGACAGTTCATTTATGATATTTTCAGCTAGCAAATTTTATCGACGGTAAGCAAACTTCGTAGACCGGCATATGAACATTTTGCCAGTTGCTAGAAGTGAAATCCACAAGCTTAGAGAGTCAGTATTCAAAAATTAGCTTTCGTTTGTACTTGTTTGAAAGCTGCTCAATGATGCTCGTCCCTGCACTCGCGCTCTTTCTCCTGGTGGCGACCTTTTCGGCACCGTCAACCGGTAAGAACGCTTTGGATGATGTTTATCCCCATGGTTTTATCAGCGTCCTTATACGATTTGATTTACAGGAGCGCCTGCTGAAAAGAGTTCTTTAAAAATTATGGAGCCGTGTATGCTGAAGCCGTGTATGCAGCCTATTTGCAAACCTCCAAGTAAGTGCTACTGGTACGTAGACGCGCTAGTACGTAATATCGGTAATTATGCCAAGCAGCGGAATCCAGCTGTGCGGCGCCAAAGGGTCCAGGCAACCCATAATGAGCGGAAGCGCAAGTATGATGCGGTCTATTCAAACGTCTAGAGAGTATTCAAATAATCATCATGTTTAGCTTCTAATTTGAATTAAAAGGGTTTTATAATTATGCGCGTTTGCAGAGGTGGCAACTCCGTGTTCTTGCGACTGTGTTTTGCCAAAGAATCATTCCGGAAACCATCGGTAAACACCCTTTTGCATGCATGTTCCGTCGTTCCGATAAGAATTTTCGCTGTTTTCTTGCGGAATATAATAAAATCATCAGGAGAAAACTGTGGTTATTGTTAAATTTTAGCTATTTATTTGTTGTTGCCGAAAAACGCCAAGCAGTAAAGATTGCACCGAGCGGCAGACTTAACTCTAAAAATGTAATTATGTAAATAAAGAATATATTGCAGCCAAGACCGATTAGCCGACCGATTTAGTTTTTGCGAAATCCGTACCGACATTTGTTGGCGAAAACATGTTTGCAAAAACAGTTTGTTCGTTCGAACAAGAAAGGCTAGTCTTGCTCATACACTCGTACTGTACAATGTACAGCAATTTTATGCAGTGTGCAATGGATGACGAGTACTTAATCGTCGAGTAGCACATACACTATTACTTAATTACTTAATTGTCCTTGTACTTGTTTTGCAAATACATATGCAATGCCCAACATACGAGTATGATTAATTGATAACTGCACCTTAAAGGAGGTATTTTTACGTGGGCCCAAAATATCGTACAAGACGTGTTTTATCGTGATCTTCAGAGTACGTAACTATCAAAACAGATACTTTCCTTGCGCTGCTACTTGGTATGCTGGTGTGTGAAAGCATCTAGCGGTTTCTGGCAGTTCCGTTTTCACTTCATAGGAATGGTCGCACATACCTATATTACGTACGTTGTACAAGTTCTTATAACTAACAATAAAGTGCAACAAAACAATGTTGTAATATCGTGATGCAATAATGGCAGCACGTTTGCCCAGTTAACGCATGAGAAATACGAGTAGAAATCGAGCCCAATTCATTTAAGCTATAGAGCTGTTTTTAGCGCAAGAATTTCGGGCGACGCGTACATAGCAATGTATAGCGTGGCACAAAAATAAATTCTCCAGACTCCGATAGAAGTGTTTCTTACTGGTTCAATCCTCTGTCCTCCACGATGTGAGCTTTCTCGCGCCATGCCCAGTTTCTGGAAGGTTGAGAAGTATATCTTCACCAAATAGTAAAACACGATTTTGATCCTGTTGAGCAGGAACACCATTAATCGGGATTCGTGATCGACAAAGTGCAAACTGTATGGCTGATGGTTTTCTACGGAGCCCGAAAAACCAATGTACAGATACATTTTTTTAACCTTTAATAAGTATCGTAGTACAAGTACAAACATAGTACCAAAACAGAACGTTATTATAACAGAAAAACTTCCTCTATGCTATCCTGATAGTGGAGCATACCCATTACACAAATCGTGTACAGATACATGAAAGGAGAGATGATCTGAGCGATACGTTTTTACGTGAGCGAGGAATCGAGATCGGAAATGAAAACACTCGAGATCGAATAAAGTGCAATTTTATCAGATCGTAGAAAAACACAAAATCATCCGTAAAAACAACAGCAAAAGCAAACAGAAAAACACCGAAGTGAAAATCTGGAGATCTTTCAGAGTCCATAAAACATCGTACGGAATCGGAGAATCCAATGGAAGGCGATGTCAGCACAAGAGCGGCTCGGCAGCTCCGAATCCTCCGATTCGGCAGTCCAGTCCGTGACCGACGTGAGCTCATGCCGACCGCTCTGGCACCGGTATCCGGCGGCAAATATGCTGCAGGTAGGCTGTAGATAATGTCCTAGCAAGACTTGCACACCGAACTAGTTAAGGGTGACCTTTAGTACAACATTAACAAGGATCATTAGAGTCACTTTTGACTAATTCGGCATGTAAGCCCTGCTAGAAGATTTTTTACAACTTACTTACTTACGGCTCCGTACTGTAGTTAAACAAATTTTGTAACGGGTAAGCTGTTTCCAAAAGAGAAAACACGTGATGCATCGATGTATAAAGGAAGCCACGGAAGCCCGGGGTAGAACGCTTTTTTAGAGAACACAAGAGAGACAGCCCACCCAAAAGTATTTCAATGTCGCATGGATTACTGCATCCGGTATTCAAAAAGTGTTTCTATCGGTATAAGACTCGTTGGAAAGAACTACTTTCAACTTCGCGTCAACAATGTTTGTTTTTTGGGTAAATCCGTACCTATACTGTTCATAATAATCACAGGCAGCAGTACGTTTTTTCGACAGCCGGTGCCTATCGGTATATATTCTATATACTCGTACGCTTGTGTATTGCTTCAGCTGTAATTCAGTCGAATTTCAAATCGCCAAAAGCTTACCTTGGTTTGTAATCACCTGCGAAAGCCATTGCAAAACAATGATCGTTCCTGCACTTGCGGTCCTTCTTTTAATGGCGACCTTAGTGGCACCTTCAACAGGTTATAACGATTCATTTGGTAAATATGCTCGGCAAATTTAATAATGCCTTGTGCGTTTTTATTTATAGGAGCGCCTGCTGAAAAAAGCTCACCGAACAGATGTTTGGCAGTCAAGTGTCTCAAGCCTCATTGCAAACCTCCGAGTAAGTGTCACACTTCACATACATTTGTGTGCCAGTTTTTTTATTTTGCGTTTGACCCGTGGTTCCAAGCAATATGAATAAACAAAGTCGGTGAATCACACTGCAGCGTGCATACTAGCATTATGCTGCATATTCCACCGTAATAACGCAAGGTGTATTATGTTACTCTAATAATTGAACTAAAGTATTTCATGCATTTTTGCAGTGATATCGGCCAGTTGCGGATGCAACTGTGTTCTGCCAGACAAGAAGTCCACTTGAGACTTTAAAAAGCACATCGCTTGCTCGTACGTATATTTCACCTTCGTGCTGAAGATGTTTTGTTGTGAAGCAATTAATACATAACCGGCCTTAACATTGGCTTTCCAATTCGTGTTTAATTATTTGGCGCTGATACCTGCGTTTTTGTCGTATTTGTCCGTAAGTCAGCATGTACTGTAGGTGCTGCTTTTCTGGGAATGTAGAATTATGTACTAAATAAAATACAGTAGAACATCAGCACCGACTTTTCAAGGACATGTTTATGGGTATATCTCAATGGACGTTGATGCTGTCGAAGAGCAGCGTTCGTGTTTTTTTATTTCTACGTCCTATATTTCTGCGTCCTATATAGCCGTGTCGCGTAACTAAAGGTTAGCTGTGACTCGGTGGTTATGACCTTTATCTATTGCTACTTGCTACAACGTGAAAGCGGCCACAACTGATCCGACCCAATGACCTTTAATGCCGATTAGCAGACAATACTCGAATGCTAACAAAAGGGCATGCAAAGATAAAGGCAAGAGAAGTTGCAAGATTCCAAGAGAAGTTGTTCCGAGGCTGGATGGAGATGTACTAAATCATTTGACAACTTCATCGCACACTACTTTTAGCCAGGCACTTAATACATGTTACGAGAGATAAAACATTGCAGACAACAAAGACACACTATTGGTTTACACAATGATTCATTCCTTTCTTCACGCTCAATCATTTGCTTGTTATCGTCAAACCACAACCTTTGACTTGCTCACAACAGCAACTATCCTGCACTCAACCACGACAACCAACCGCATTCAACCGCATCCGCAACTGTATCCATTTTAAGCACGCCCGTTATGATGATAAATATGTATGTAATTCATGATGCATGCAGCTCATGACCCACAGAACACGCTTGCGCTGTACACTTGCGCAACACGCCTCTCCTATGGATCATGACGTCCTCGTCATGGGTCGCTTTACCGCTCGCACACGCTCCGCAATCCGTCCAGACACTCGAGTCCGACCGTCCCAGAAGGTGACCACCATCCCTCAACTCGGATGGCACTCGCCTCCTTCCGGTACGGCATCCACCGAATCTGTATCCATCTCCTCTATCGGTGTGGACTGTATTGGCACCGCATCAGCACTGGACTCTGCCGGCGTCTCGTGGTAACCGGCGTCTTCTTCGTCTAGTTCGCTCACAACTTCCGGCGCGCTCCCTCCTCGCACTAGCAGATCCGCAAAGTCCAGCGTTTCCATTATGCCACTATAGTCTGGCGCCCCATCCGCTGCAACTTGCGCTCCATGTGGGACTAATGCTCTTAACTGCACGCGAATCCGGCCAACTCATCCGCCATCCATGTAAACTCCGCCGGAAATGGTAATGAGTCTTCCATCCGGTCTACGTATCCGGTTAACAACTCCTGACACGTCCGCAACATATCGTCATGTTTGCTGATGTTCTCTGTATCTGTATTCCCCACGCACACACTCGCCAATGCCACTACTCGCACGACCACTCTGCTGCCAATACCACCACTCGCATTGACACCGCACTCGCCAATGTCACCACTCACATTGGCACCACTCTCGCCAATGTCACCACTCACATTGGCACCACACTCGCCAATGTCACCACTCACATTGGCACCACACTCGCCAATGTCACCATCACATTGACACCACACTGACCACTTGCGCCGTTCACTCCGATGCCATCCTCGCCAGTACTGCCACTCACACTAACACTGCACTCGCTAGTGTTGGCACTCGTACTGGCCGGCATCATCTCCGCAAAACCACCGCTCACACTGGATATCGACTTTCCAGTGTCACAACTGTCACCATTAACCAACTTGCCCGCGCCATGACTCACGCCGGACACACACGCTACTGTGCACAGACTCGCACAGGACTTCACCTTGCCTATACCACAACTCGCACGGACACCTCAGTGCTAACACTTGCACTGAATTCACGCTCGCTCATGCCAACACTCGCACAAGCACTCGCAATGCTGTCACCTGCATTGCATGCTCCAACGTCACCACTCACACAATTTTAAAGGATATCGCACCTGCACCAGCACTCGCACAAGTCAAGTTTTATCAGCGCTCTTACTCGAACCAATTACGGCACTCAATATCCCGCGCTTGCTGTTACTTGCTCTGTCTCACGTCTCTTTAGTGCTGCAATTCGCATTAGACGTGGACACCGCAGCAGCACTACTTCCGCTGGCACCGCCTGTAGATACTCCTTCCGTCTGGTCTCGCTAGTTGGCTGTGCTCTGGTGCGACAAAACAGCTGTGCAGCTTCTTCCGGCTAGGGCGCTGCTGAATGAAACGTTTAAACCGCGGACTATGCAGAATCTTGTTAGCCGGCTTTCCCGTTGGCGAAGGCTGTTCCGCTGACAAGTTCTTCTACAAAGTACTTCACACCCAAGCATAACATTCACCTACTCACATAATGATTACGCCATTACTAGACCCTTACACTGAGAACTAACATCTCCAAGACTTATTATTGGTACGAGTATCATTTGCACATTGCGCAATCTGTACGAGTATCATAAGCATAATGATTGTTAGTACAAGACAAGCCTCGCGCTTTCACGCTCGGCACGTTTGTATTGGAAAGGTCAGGTTTGAATTTATAGACTGTTCCGGCAGTCGTCCGGCTGTTTAGAATTTGAACTACGTAAAAATCCACATTTCCCTAGCTGCTGTACTGACCAAAGTGTACTTACAGATCCATATCCATGGTTACAGTACCGTATGTACTTTATACATACTGTGCTTCACAATAGTAAAGTATTCTTGGTACTGCACTTGCGTTTCGCCATACTTAAAACGGACTTCTATAATTTTCTGACCAGAACGTTTTTTGAAAAAATCAAAATTCAGGATAAGTTGGTCAGGAAAATATTGATTTTTTTAAGACCAAGTTTGACTTAAAATGACCACACTTTGACGAATCCATAAAAAAACAAAATTGATTACGTTTTGGACGGTAGGATTGTATGAATATAAAGATACGAGTTTACGTAGTGAATATGGCACGTTGTACTCTACAAAATTTAGTAATAATACAGATCCCGATAATGCCCATTGCCAACAACTGTACAGCTGAGGTAGACAGTTATTCAAACACTGATTATATAAAAATATAATATATTTAATGCAGTGTAAAGCTTATGAAAGCATACAAAAGTATTACGGCGGAAAGTAAATTTTATTTTGAATTTTTATTGCATCTTGACCAGCAAGTAACACGAAGAAAGTGAAAATGGAAAGTCAAGTGCTGACGATGTACTGAATATTGAGGCCAGTATTTTACGTTAATAAGCGCAGAGCAATATGATATGATTTAGAGCGTACTTAACAATGGGGTGTGGTTCGGGTGCGACAATAGAAATCAAGCATACATGAGGAATCATATGCAACTAGTGCATTGAGCTTTAATGGGTGATGGCAACAATGAAAGGTAGCTATTAATATCTTAAGCTTCTCTGTTTTAAACGTTTCGATGGTCAGAAAATTATGCAACAATATTTTACCTTAATAGCAAAAGCCTAAATAAATTAGCACAACGCAACCAACGTAAACGTACAAAGAAATGCCGCATTTTATCAGACAATTATCCGATTAGAAGAAAACAAATCGTGGTCCCGACTACGTGCAATTTAATGAACATGATTTTTTCAATTTCCAATTTCCGCTAATTACCCTGCGCTTTTTTGATTGCAGTGCACCAAATTTGCGAACTGGTGTTTTCATACAGAATTTAGAAATAACCCATACGCTGATTTTGAATCGCTTTTTTTTACTGCGTAATAAGACAGGATCTTTTAGCCGAATGAGCGACAATATTTTGGAATTTATATACTAATGTACTGTAATCTGAACCCTGAGCACCAAATTCTTCTCTTCTTTTTTTTTAAATTTTTCTACTGCCGCTATGAAACAATTTTCTTGAGTGGGCTGCCGGCAAGCTTGCACACAAGAATATTTGTTGTGGAAAATTGTCTGCCGATTTTTCATGAATAACCCGAACATATGCAGAGGCGTCCCAGTGCATAAGTAATTGCCATTCATGTTATTAAAGCGTTCTAGTGTAAAACATAACGCATGGTGGATTTTTTACCTGAGCAGACAAAAGGTACCAAAACATGATGATATCTTAAAAGAAAACGACGTGAAGATGTTCTCGAATTTTCTGATATGTTGTTATTCAGGCGACAGTGCTTGCGCAAGCTGGAACAACAATAAAGGTGTGCTCAAAATATTGACCCATTTCATTTACTCATCTTTCTCTCACAACATCCTCATTTATTTCTCTTTTCAGCTTTGTTGCACAACTTTAAAACATTCACCTAAATTCCAAACAGAAATCAGCGATTCCAAAAACAAAATTGTAAAAAAAAATCATCACTAACGGCTTATACGCTGTCAAAGATTTTACCTACGGCGATTGTACGGTGCAAATCAATTATTAGACCCGAATTTCAAAATTTTTATTAAGAAAATTAGTTTTTTTAAATTTAATTTTGACAAACGCTGTTGATAAACCACAACTAAATATTTATGAAAATGCACCCTTAAACGTCAGAAAGCGGGAAAATTTTACAATCGTCGGGCACTTCCCCATCAGCTTTTAGATATTGACACTTCTTACGAATTTCCTGCAGCCTTTCAGTAAATAACTCGACTGTTTGGGGACGATTTTGTATCATATCTGCTTTGAACTGCATCGGCAAATGTTCGAAAAGAATTCTGACCTTTTCTTCTTCTCCAGCGCTGACATGGGTTGCAGCAATGTAATCCAACACACCGTATACGTACGTCAAGGGTTCGTCAACAGCGGAATTTTTTGACATGAATTTACTGATATCTAAATCTAACAGATTTCTACCGAAGATTTTAAAATTCCTGCTCTGCGTCGCAAAATTTTTCAGTTTGGATTCGTTGTTCTTGAACCATTTTAAGGCAGCATTTGTCAAGCACAAACCGAAATGCACCAAAGACTGTTCATCGCTCCACGACAAATAGTTCTTAATTCTGTTAAACCTGTCCATAAAATATTCTGCAGATTCAGTGGACTGTCCACCAAATACTGGTAAATCTCTAAGGCGAATTCCTGCCATCTTACGTACAAGCACTTTTTAAACTTAAATTTATGCAATCAGAGATTTTCTTATCATCGGCAACAAAAAATTCAAGAATCGCATTTTAAAGGGGCATGTTAAAACGATCGGTTACGACGATTTACAGATTCGCTCTTTCTGGTACGTCAGCAGGACTTTTGACTTGCGCAGATAAAAAACTTAATTATTCTACAAATCGAGATATTTAAGAGTTAATTCAATTTTTTTCGAAAATTAATGGCATGAAAAGACGGCATCGAAATATACCTAAATACGTACTTAAGTATTACTGTTTCTACTCTGCTGGTACTGCTTATAAATATTTCCTTCCAAGCGGGTCTCACCATATACGCCGTATTTTTTACATGCAAAAGAAATCGAAAGAATACAGGAAAATCCGCAAACAATCTAGAGCACACACTGTTAAAATGATCGAAATCCCTCAAAGTAAGCTGATGATTTACGATTCTATTAATATTAGGACTATCTTCTAAGGTCAACTTAATCATAAGATCAATTTTCATGAATAACCAGTTAATAACAAACATTCGTCCGAAGTCAACCAAATGACTATTTTTGACACAAACTTTATTTTAAAAAAACAAACTGAAAGCAAATGCACATCGTTATTAACTTATCCTGTTTAAACTATCTCATGAACAAAAGGACCCACGAAGAGAAAGCAAAAATGATAACTTGCCATACGACTTACAGAGGAATGCCGTTATGCTGCTCCCGCTAGTTGTCGACCACCTGCACCCGCTTCCGCTCCAACATACCTATCGTTGTACGCTCCGAGAAAAGAACCGCAGAACGCCGGCACCAACTTATGCACTAACGAGCCTTGAAACATTCACCGACGTCGTTTGGAAGCAGTGCCAAGTATTCTTACTAGATACCGCTCCCACACTCGCTCATACAACGCGTGGTTTGCTGTAAGCGACACTTGTGACTTTTCACAATCCACACTCGTCGCTCGTCTCACAGGGTCCACAATGACACACTATCCATTAACAATTATAACAGCAAATCACTCGCACTGATGTCTCACGATTAACACGCGTAGTGGTAATGCACCCACCACTACTAATACATTGTCACTTGCAGCAGTACACTCACTGCTGCTAACAGCACATCAACTCACTCTGAAACACTTGCAGTGGTTATAACCTCACCACTACTGAAATAACTTGACCTTCCATCGCAGCTCCACACCTTCAGCTACCTTTACTTGCTACGCACACATGCCCTCCATGTCGCGTAACTAAAGGTTAGCTGTGACTCGGTGGTTATGACCTTTATCTATTGCTACTTGCTACAACGTGAAAGCGGCCACAACTGATCCGACCCAATGACCTTTAATGCCGATTAGCAGACAACACTCGAATGCTAACAAAGGGCATGCAAAGATAAAGGCAAGAGAAGTTGCAAGATTCCAAGAGAAGTTGTTCCGAGGCTGGATGGAGATGTACTAAATCATTTGACAACTTCATCGCACACTACTTTTTTAGCCAGGCACTTAATACATGTTACGAGAGATAAAACATTGCAGACAACAAAGACACACTATTGGTTTACACAATGATTCATTCCTTTCTTCACGCTCAATCATTTGCTTGTTATCGTCAAACCACAACCTTTGACTTGCTCACAACAGCAACTATCCTGCACTCAACCACGACAACCAACCGCATTCAACCGCATCCGCAACTGTATCCATTTTAAGCACGCCCGTTATGATGATAAATATGTATGTAATTCATGATGCATGCAGCTCATGACCCACAGAACACGCTTGCGCTGTACACTTGCGCAACAGCCGAATGGATTCTTTCATTCGGCTTTACTGTCTCTTTTGTAAATAATCTAATAAATAGGACCATTCTGTTGTTGATGTTTGCACCGAGAGGGCGACAACATCAGTACAGAACTGTTATGTATTACATAATGCCTCACGGGCTGTACAGATAGATTGGTAAGAAGTTGTTTAAAAAACAACATTTATTTACTGACAAGAAAAACACAGACAAGAAATTCAAGTTGTAACTTTTTGCCCGAAGCACAGTAATCGCGATAAACAGTGCGGTTTTGTTTTTTGTTCTTCGGTAAAATTCTTGTACATATCCGTAAGTCCGTATTCATGATACATCCAACCATATATCCGTATACGTATATGCGGTTGCTTTGTGGCGTATAAAATAAGAAACAAACTCTCGACAAAATTCTCATTGTGTTAACAGACTGCTTTTTCGCATATTTTTTTCCAACATTTCCAATTTTGAGTACAATGCACGCAGTCTACGTTTTTGCTGTCCTGCTTGTGGCAGCAAGCCTCTTTACGCCTGGTAAGGAGAAGCAATCGTATCAAATTGGTATAGCGCTAAACAAATAGCTGTGATACGATAATTATTAATAGAAGCAAGCTTTGAGCAACTGCTCCACTTAACCATAGCCATACACTTAACCATAGCCATACTAATTCCAGATCCGAGTTGACCAGCTCTTAACTTTTATATTGTTAGGATACTCTGCCGATGCAAAAACGTCGGATTCTGCTAAGAAGCCATGCAAAATCGAAAAGTGCGCCCTTGTCTGCAGAGCCCCAAGTAAGTTGTTACTCTTCTGCCTTATAAGTTTCAACGTAATGGACACCATTCAATGGACACCATTCACAGCGTGTTTCTTGCTGTAATATAATTCTCGATCTTCGTTTGATAGAAGTTCTGAGCTCCTGTGGATGCCATTGTGTTACACCAGGAGGAGGTAAATCGGTGGAAGCTCCGTTTTAAGTTTTAACTGCAAATGACGCGTGGATCGCGTATTCATCATGCTAAAACAAGCTACAGCACCGTTGACGTCGGGCAAAACGATCCGGTTCACGCCGAATTGCACGCTGTAACTCTTCTTTTTTTGTTAACACAAGCAAGCAAGATAGTGTTTGAGCAGACCGGGATGATGTTCTAACAGGCTTAAATTAGCAGTTACTACATCATTACGAGTATTGTCAGCTGCCGTCATATGTAAACAGATCACACGTTTTTGCAATGCCACTGGAAAACAAACTTGAATAAACTATGTTAGTAAAGGTCAACAGAGCAGCCGCTATCCTAGTTTGCGTGCGGCGTGCGTTTGGTTAATGAAACCGGTTGCTGCAGAGTGCAGACAAATATTATTTTAATCTTTCAAAATGCAGTCGCACTCCCAGCGCATCTCATGCAGGGTTTTCCAACCGAAGCTGTATATCTCTCAGCAAACTGAATCAGTGTTTCCTAAACATTGTTCATGACAACCAACGAATGGAGTCCATGTCATACGATACGATCGTTTGGCGACGGAAGGTGCACTAGACTTCCGTCTTCATAATGGACGTTTCCGGTTACCCCGGCGTTCAGAATAAGTGGCAGCAAGAAGAAGAGAAGCAGCTAAGCACACACACAGTGACACATGTACCTATCAGCCGTATACGTTCCGGTAAATCGACAGAGGTTGTACACTTGTCAACCTAAAGCTCCAAGAGTGGGGCTTGGCCAAGCAAATCGCAGATGCTGCCGTTTTTTGGCAGACCTAGAAATACATACAGCTTCTTGGCAGTTTCGTTTTGTTATAAATATATACGCCAGAATATCGGGTAGTAATAATCCTGAAGATACCGGCAACGCACAACGCACAACTTTATTCGATTAATTAGTGCTTTTCCACCAACAGTTATACGAGTACAAAATTTAGTATAGTACTTGTCTCGCTACGGAAACGTCTATGTATTTCTGAGCAAATCTTGGAGAAGCAGTTTTTAGATGGACAGTGGAAGCGGTTTTACCAATATCGAATCACTGCCGAATGGAACGATTTGACAAAGTTCGCCACTTCAAAAAGATACCTATAAGTACTTTTAGCAAACTTGAGACAAGCGTAGCATTCTATGCGTTGATTGAAGAGGCTTAGTTAGCTTACATTTGCCGTTAAGGGAGCTAACAATAAATTAAAATCCAATATCTTTGTCATGGCCTTTTTCGCATCCCCAAAACGACATCTCGCAGATTGCGCTCAGTTCTCAATATTGTGGCCACCTGCGTAGCCTTTACCGAACCCGGTGTCCGCGGTTACGGGACGGACAACGTTTAATTTTGTTGTTTTTTTCCGTCAGAAGAAAAGAACAAACAGGGACACATTGTCGTAATTCGGATAACAGCATCGGCTCACAACATTTTCACGTAGAGGGCTTTTCGGGGCTGCCGATTACCTATTCATTATTAGAACATTATTTGTTAACAAGAGCAGCCAGCAAGAAAAACAAGTTGTAATGTGTTGCCTGCAGCCTAAGGATTCACGGTTCGAGCGTGTTTTTCTTATTGGAAAAATAGTGTTGCAATAGTACATCCGCCATTCCGACCACCATTCAAGCAGCCGTATCCTTATATACCTGAAACAGTTTTGCGGAGTATAAAATAACAGTTGAAGGCACTTCTGCCAACTTCACAGTTCACATTTGTGCAAAGAAAACTTTTTCGTATTTTGCCCCGTTTCCAGCTTTACTGCACGATGCACGCATATGCCTGTGTTTTTGCCGCGCTGCTTGTGGCAGCAACCATTTTTACGCCTGGTAAGCAAATGTATCCAGATGAACCACCGGTGATGCAAGTCTGTGACTCCAACCAATATTTGTTTTGAGTTACCTAGTCATCTATTTATTTTTCTTATTTGTTAGGATACTCTGCCGATGCAAAACCGTCCGATTCTGCTAAGAAGCCGTGCAGGATTGTACCGTGCGCCCTTCACTGTACACCTCCAAGTAAGCCGCCAAACTTCCGCGTTTTCTAAATTTTATTGTGCCAATCACCATTCATTGTGTGTCTTGCTTTAAAAATTATTTTTGATATCCGTATAATAGAAGTCCTGAGCTCCTGTGGATGCACTTGTGTAAATCCATTTGGTAGTAAACCTGGCTCTGTGGAAGCTCCGTTTTAACTGCCCCCCGTAGGCCGTGGGCGTACATACGAGTGCACTATACCACAATATTGCTGGCATCGACCGAATGATTGGGGCCTCTTCCTAAAAAACGTTATTAAGAAAACGTTTCAATGTACAGAAATTATGCATATAGTCAATGTTCAAACATGCGAAAAAACTAATCCTGATTGTAAATTGCTGTCGTCATGTAAAAATATGAAACTTATGTCGCAACTCGCAATGCTTATGGACAATAAAGTTGGAGAAATTGATGTTTCAAAGGTCAGCAGAGCGGCGCAAAAGCCTCTTTGGTGTGCGTTGACTAATGGCAACCAAGTCTACAATAACAGGGTTTATTATGCTAACCTTTCTCAGTGCTCTTGCGTTTCCAGCACCCAGTGCAGCATTAGTAAACCGATGCGGGCACTTTATTTAGAAGCTCTGCCCTATTATCAAACTGGTTTAGAGGCTATTTTTGAGAGAAAAGGAAAGATTCTATAGTTCAGCATGATCCGGACCCCGTATCTGTTGACGCCCGCATTTACGCAGTTGAGTTACGTCAGGGTAATGGACATCTCCGGCAGGTTTCTCCCAGCGTTCCAAACAAGGCGTAGTGGAAAAACCGATGGTACCGCTACTTACGTGGTTACATGTAATTATCAGTATACAGATATGTGTGTGGTCAAACACAGCATATCCCTTTTTTCGCAGATAAGGGAGAAATCCGTAATGTACAGCAAATGCGTTTTTTTTATTTTTGATCCATTGCGAATCTACAACTAGCGCTTTGAAAAATGCTAAAGATATTCAACGATACAAAAAACGCAGCTTTTCCGCGAACCTCCGAGAAGCATTTTTTAGATCGTCGATGGAAGCGATGAACAGTAGCGGATCAACTGCCGAGTGAATTAGTTTGATAATGTTCGCCACTTGGAAAAACACACTTTGCATTGCAAAGCTTGGGACAACGTAATACACATTGATCGGTGTCCAGCACAAAAACACACTGGCTGTTAAAAGAGCTAAAATTCTGTAGCTATGTCGTGACCTTCTCCGTGGCACCGCAACAGAATCCTGCGGATTGCGCCCCGTTTTCGATGTAGCAACCTGCGTGACCTTTACCGAACCCGACGTCCCTCCTTGTGAAGACGGCGAATTTTGTATACGGTTTACTTTCCACTGAAACGTTCTCCGGTGTAAAATAAGAGGGCACGTCAACAAAATGATAGTTTCCGGAATAAATAAGGAAACAATGTTGTAACTGTACGTCCAGGTCACCAATGCGTGGTTCATAAAATTCATCAGGCAGAATTTGTTGAGGAACGGTGTTCGATGTCCTAGTCCATCGATGGCCGTTGCCGGGATGACACACGCCATGACAATCACGCCGGCCACTACACACGCCGACACGGCAAGTTTAAAGGAATGATGCGCACGATACGAGTGCGGATACACGATAGCCCAGATGCGGTTAAAACAGATGAGAACGTGGATAAACGGGATGTACCCGGCAATGATGGAGCGCAGCGTAATATGGATGGAGCAGAATACAGAATCCTGCTGATTGGAAAGGTTGTTTTTTATCATGAGAAATAGGGTATTCTGTATAATGCTGCTAATGATGTTCGCCAAGGCTAAAACAATAAGATAAACTCCGAACGATCGCTGCAGAACTTGCTTATCGGCGAATAGAATTAGTAGAAAGGCGTTTGTACACACTCCTGCAGCACAGATGATCAGCGTTATAATCTGCATAAAGTTCAGGCTTAATTCGTCACTGGATCCATTCCATGCAGAGCTTCGGCTGCCGTAAGTAGTATTGTGATTGGAAAGGTTCATGATATTATTTTACCAAATTTCCCTGTCGCTGCTTACAAAGCGCTGTGAGAATAGCCTGACAGAAATCACGGCATATGGAGGGAATCCTTTATAGCGTAGCGCTGTGTTTGCGCAAATCAGAAATACCGGTAAGATCTTCCCTTTTTGATTAAGAAACGGACCGCAAACATGTCGCCAGTAATGTGTTTTGACAATAGAGCGTCTGATAGTCAGATTCAAATCTCCAACTGCGTCACCGAGTCGCCTCCACTTCTGAGTATGTCACATCCATTAAGCTAATGGATCCTCTTTTCCTGTTAGTGTTTTTAAGATAAAATTGCCAGTACTCTTATACAGTACTTCTATTCGAACTGGAGGCCAGCAGAATAGAATACTTTTAGTTTTACTACAAAAAGCTCCGGATTAGAGAGCCGTAGTCTGGATGATACTGTAAATTAATTAAATCCGAAGGCAAACAGTAGAAGTTCAGATTAGACGGACGTCAGCCTATGACGCTGTACTACAGTGAGGTTCCATATCGCGGATGCCAACCAATTTGATCACGGTTTTGTACAGATTTATGGCAGGTTTATGAATTACTTGATATTAAAGTCGTGTAACCGATTTAGAAGCTCTCGGAAGTATTGACGCAAGAATGTCAATAATACAGTTCATTCAGTCTTTGTCTCTTCAAGCGGTCACTTTAACGCCCTCTGCTCACAGTTTTTATAATTATTATGTATCATTTGATCCATCTGAACATTTACTGCAGCAGGAGTACGTACATGCAACATGGGCGCGACATGCAATTACGTAGTTACAGAATACTGTACTGTATAATAGGTTGTTTTATTTATGTATTGTCTATTTTTGCTCGGCACATTACGTTTTCTAGAGGAGAATCTCATAATTATTAAAATTGTGACAATAAAACGCGCGCGCAATGATCTCAATATAAAGGCCAATGTTGCGAATGTTGTGCATTTTGAAGGTAAACCATAGATGTGGTCATGTGGACTCTTTGTGGAGCACTGCGTGCGCGCGTCGTGCCGTATAAAATGTAATGCGTAATATGCCAGGCCTACGATCTTGGGCGTTTAATTCAGGAAGTAGCCCATCACGCGACTTTAAAATTTTCAGCGGAGACCAAAATACTGATGTACAAGTAGTAGCTTACTAGGAAAATTCTGTTAATGCGGCTGTACTACGTTCTGGATAAAATATTAGAGGTGGAGGCGAAACAAAATCTAATAGGAAGGATACTGATGTGTGTGCAAGCGCTTCAGCTATTTTGACTGCACTATCTGTTTATTTTAAAAACCTTTTTACGCACAAATAAAAGAATTCGTCTAACAAATGTAGGTACAAATTGTATGGGTAAATAGAAACAGTATAAAATTATTCATTCACGGAATGTCAGGTCCGACTACACTGCAGGGTAGATCTTTGGTCAAGCAAGGACGGGATGGTGAAGGCACCGCTACCGGTATGCAAGGCGGACAGTTGCATCCCGCTTCCAGTGCTGAGACAATACAAAGCAATAAAACAAATTTTTCAGCTAAAGTAATTGGATATGATCATTATGAAATATTGGACACAACTTTATGCTTTACAAAGCAAGCAACTTTATGCTTTACAAGTACTAAAATATAATTACGATATATCATATTCCATCTATACATACAGCGAATCACATGAAATCGGCAAATATCCGCATATGTACATATTTTTTACTGGGGCGCAATAATTTTTGAAGAAACTTACATCGACTAGCAATGGCAGCAAGGGACGGAACCGAACCAGCACAAGACATAGTGGTGCATGCGCAAGGAATGTTCGGATTTACGAGTCCAAATAAGGTCGGTACACCGTTAACTGAAAAAAAATATGATGTAAATGCATGATAAAGTCTATTAAATTCAGAACTATAGCTAGCGCAAGTGGCTTAGCTCAATTTGTATTTAATGGCTTACCTAAAGAGATCATGGTGAAAGAAAAATAACACAGGAAGATACTGTAGAAAACGCGATTTACTGATGATCCATACATGGTGAAGTGTTTAAGTAATGACTAGCTGGTTACAACAAAAAGAAAATGTCAGAGATTACAAAATCTTAGGTAAGGCTTATCGAATATTAAATTGTCCAGAACAATAAAAGCAAAGAAGCGCTTTGTACTGCGATCAGTTACTTGACTATAATATATACTTTTTTCTAAATCATTATTCTTGTGCGTCTAATGAGAAATCCACGAATACTTTTCCATAAATTCATTTGTTACTCTCATTTTCTTTGAGGATTTTCCTGGTTTGGATATTTCAGGAAAACGACTAGCTTCGAAGCTTTTGCTGTTTCTACATCTCGGAAAAATTCATTAGGAAAATTCTACAGGAAATAAACAAAAACCAGATCATGAGACATAAAACGTATGGTTATGCAACGGTTAATGCAGGAAGCAGCTTTGTGTCAACTGCATTAAACCGTGCTATTAAAAAGTAATGTGGTATATTTGAAATATGAGGAAGTGTTCCATGTCCGTCCATTAGCTCGTTGAATGCATATGGTTCGTAAATTTTTCCAGTGGAATTTCTCCATAAGTGGTTAGTAAAAAGGCAGTGCAAAAGTTCTGCCTATATAATTATAGTGCAGACTTCGGAAAACTTGTACAAATCTAAATTTTCCGTTCAAGATCGCTAATAATTCCAACTCGCTTATTCCGTATCCAAATATACAAACATGCCATTTCTTCGTTCTGCTCAAATCGCTGTATGCATAGTGATGCTGTCCTGGATCCCAACAGGTATGCAATAGGTGTGCTCAATAAAACTGCACGGAATTCGAATTTATTAAGTTAATAAGAACCATTGTTCCGGCATTCAGGCTGGTCCATTCCAAACGTTTTTTTGATGCAAAACCCGGGTGACTGCTTGTGCCCGCCGTGTGTATCTCCGATGCCGGTTGTGGCGGCTGCCGCTCCAAAACGTAGGTGTATAAAATGCATTGAGAGACCATAGCAAATTTGTTGCTGATATCCGACGAACTTCCAAATATGTTATTTTGTAGTTGCACAAGCCGGTTGCCCGCAGTGTGCCTGCAATACCGGAAACGTCCCGCCTCCTGTCCCGCTACAATCATCGGGAAGCTGCCCGCCGGGGGGCGCACCGTGCCTGTGTATAACCAAAGATAAACCGTGCAGTATTAATCAACCACTTCCGCCATCCCCGAAATGAACTCATAATGGGGAAGTTTATAGTAAATCAGTGATTAATTTTGGTGATGGTTATCTTGGATGATGACAAATTCTGTTGTCCGTCTTTCCATCATATTGATGGGACGAAAGGCAGACGTGATTTCTTTAGTAGAAATGGGACAATTGGGATAAATTATAAATGGGATAAATTAAAGCAGCAGTTAACAGACCTCTTTCGCTTTTAGTACAACCCTGTAGTAAATTTTATCAAGACTTTCAACAGCGAACAATATACGAGTACCGTATTATAGTGCATACTGCATACGTATACTGCGGTAAATATTAGCAAAGTGATTTAGTTGTATGCAGTCCTTACTTGTTAGTTTGCGCACACAAGTTACAAGAATTTACAAAGTGTTGTTAATATACATCGCATCGGTTTCGTAGCACCAATATGTAATACGAAACCGGTTATTGCACGTTCGTTTATAATTGGGCTCCCATACCGTTGTTTACTCTCTTTGCTGTTAATTAACCTTAACCTGGTACACTGTCGGCACACGAGAGTGCGGCAAATTCCTAACAAACACTCGTTCCTTGCAGCACAACCACTACTGCCACAAATATAGCTTTTCTGTACAGAAGTAAACTATTTAGTACTTTTTTCCGTCTCTGTTCTTTGAGTTGACCATTGCATTTAATTTATCTCAACAGACAAACAAAATAAATCATGTATCTAATGGTAGTTTTTTCGTTAACCCTGATTTACTCGGGTGGGTTCTTTATTATTTTCCTGGATTATACATGATAATGTTGTTAATCGTTTGCCGGTTGTGCAACTATGCGTGGAAAGTTATTCAGTTAGTCAACAATTTTCTGTTCTTTTTGTAGCTGCTTCCGCTCCCGATGCGTCTTCTATCGTTAGACCTTGCCTGCAGTGTATGTGTGCTCAACCAGTGAGCGCCATCTCATCCGCTGCATCAAATGCCGGTAAGAAGGCGCAACCTCTTGTACGAGCACGTTTGATTACAATTCGCTTACTTAAGCCCTACAATTTTAACTGCTAGGTTTTTATAATGGTTAAAATTTTTTTATGCAATTCCTCATCAAGTTACATACTCGTACTAATACCATATAATAAATAAAAAGCTATAATCGCGATATAAATTTAATATTTGATCTAAATAATATGTGTGTACATGTAACTTGGTTCCTTGACATGTTTTACTCGTTCATAGTATCCATCAACCAATGCGGCTGCAATTGTGGTGGCATAAATCCTGTTCCTGTTCCGGCCCCTAATCCTTGCCCTGGACCAATCATCCTTCCGGTGTCCGGCGTCCAACAGTCGGCGGGTGCAAACGCCCTGATTCGACCTTGCCCCCTAACCGCAACTGCGTAGCGGCTGTTTATATATAAATTTTAACAGACGTTAAATCTTTTGTTGTTTTTACATGAAAGCTTTGTGTTTAAGAATAAGCTAGCGATGTGCGATCCTTGAATAATCGTAGTGCTGTAAAAAATTGTGCAACGAAGTGCTCAATTGGCGGTACATAGATGTCGGTAATAACTCGTTATCGGATAAAACTTCTAATCAGTGTAGACTCCGAACGAAAAGGAAATAGCCCAGTCCTGCCCGGCTAGGTCATGTACCTTTTACTCACAGTCAAACCCGTCTTCATACTCATACTCCTACTCACAAACGCCAAATAACCCAAAATTTACAAGCGCAACATCGGAGATTTTAATTTACAGCATACCTGAATTCAGATTTTTTAATTTGCAAAAGAAGCTAAATTATTAACTGGGAAAATGACATTTAGGACCTGCGAAGCTGCGAAATTCAGCTGCAGTAAAAGTTTCTAGTACTATGCAGTGCACCTTGTTTGTGCAAATTATTACGGTCTTTCTGAGCTGATCAATAATTTTTGGCAGTTAGCGTTACCGCAAGGTGCTGCTTGAAATGGTATCATCGAAAACGGCGTCTTTAAACGGGCAAGCAACGGCTACAAGTACTTGTATTGCTTATGTTGGGACTCTAAAGTAACCGTACCGCTTATGTTGGTGGGTCTCTAACTGTTTCTCAGAAGAGCTTACGAGATTTACGAGATTCAAAGCCTGTTATGCTTTACTGTCACTGAGTGGCTGGCACTCCTCGTACTACAGATTTCATGCACATTATGAATTACATGCATATATATGTTGGTGTCATATGCCTATCTGTACCACTCTATTAATGACTTTGTTTACTCCATTAACAACTTGTTGATGATGATTGCGCAAATTACCGAAGCAGTTTTCTATTAAAGAAGAGGAAAACAGTCATGCGCTAGTCTGTCGCCAAACGTATCCTACCTCAATAATTATTGTTTGAGTGCTTTTGACAAGCTGATCGTGTACACTGCAAATCCTAGAGTAGAAATGAAGTCTTTAACCCTGTTATTATCGACTCTTCTTATTTCCCAGGGTAAGTAAAAAATATTTTATCAATATTTTAATTCTGACAGAATCAGTTATTTAATGATTAATCACGTGGAATACAAGTTTCGAACAAAAAATCCGCACACAGCAAATCTACCAATCCTGAAAACTTGACAAACGAGATGAGCAGAAGTCTAAAAGAAAGAGCCTCCACATGTCACACAAACTAGGTCACTGGTTAGCGGTCGAAACGTTATTCTGACAGAATCCCCAGCTTTTGAATCTTTCTGGTAGTTCTTGGCAGTCTTAGGTGTCACCTGCGAACTTTTCTGTTGAATGTTGACCTATTGGGAGACATCATTAATTACTAGTCATTACATCGATTTATACATAAATTCGTCGTGACCTCATCCTTCACACGCACTGAAATTTGCAGTTACTTCGGCTCCTGATACATCTGTTCAAATACCCTGTGTCCATTGCGACCTGGCGTGTGTACAACCAATCAGCGTAATTTCTTCAGCCGCAACCAATGCTGGTACGGTGTCTCCACCGTATTTATTTTTAATAATTATATAGTGCAACAGATATGCTTGGCATTTTCAAATTCAGTACCTTAATACCGGTTCCTTTATACCGAAAGTGTTGTTAGCAATTTATATAATTCGACAGTAACGAATACCCAGTGCGGTTGCCAAGGATGTGGACCCATTCAGCCACAGCCGTGCACGGGACCGATTTTGGATCCTCTTCCTGGCGGCGTACAATCGGCCAGTTCGGCCATCATCCGACCGTGCCCTTTGAGTGCAACTGGATAGCAACACAGTTCTCTTACTTCTTTATAATCCGGGAAACTGCACCTCTTCAGGCTAGTACTAAAAGACCGAAGCGAACCCCAGAAACGGTATATTGCCTTTGTAGAACGCGTACATACAGTTTCCTTCAGACGCAACACGGAAAATATCATACTGATCGTGTGAATTATAAAGCCAATGTAGTTCTTTATAGATAAGCTGAAAGTTTGACTTTGCATACAGCTCTCTTTTTATAACTTGTTTAATAAAATATACCCTGTTTTAATTCATAGCATTAGATATTTTAAGCTGCCTAATTTCATCTCAAGCCATACAAAAAGGCACGTCTGTAATAACTTACAGACGCCTATTGTGAATGCACTCGATCAGTTCTGTTGTAGAGGAAGCCGATACAGGCATGTGAATCAGGAAACCATTAATGTGCTGCAAATGCAAATTCGGGTGTTTTAATTTCCTTGGCACGCAACATTTCGAATGCATCGCTGTAGTAAAATTACAATTTCATGGAAGTCTAGCAGAAAACCGGGCACGTTTAGCACGCATTATACAACACTCCTTATGATCGATGACGTTCGACTGCAATAAATCCCTGTATTTGGACCTTGTTCACACGTGGGTAACATTTGTTCAACACGTGCATTTAAAAGACGTCTGGACAATTAACAAACCATCCTACTATAATCTGTTACACAGGATCTTTTTCGTGCATCTCCAGTACGCTTCCTTCAAATCGTCAATAGAGGCAATAAACAGTACCGGATCAATCGCCGAATGCACCAGTTTGACCACATTAGCAATCTGAAAGAACCTGGTGTGGCTCGTAAGATTTGGCAATACGTAATATACATTCACCGGTGTCCAGCAAATAAACACACTAACGGTCAACAGCGCTAAAATCCTGTAGTTCTGTCGTGGATGCTTGCGTAAGGCAGAACCGTTGCGGCTGACATCGTGCCCATCAATAACATCATTATCCGTGGATCGTTTGATTCCCCGCGGCGACATCCCACTCGGTGTTACCCGCATACGATTTAACGGTATCGCACGTTTGCGTAGCAGAAACGGGCACGTCAACAGAATAATACTCTCCGGGATAAACAGCGAAATAATATTGAAACTGTACGTCCATTTAACCAAATCTTCGTTACTGAAGTTCATTCGACAGAATTCGTTTAGCGACGGTGTACGGCCATGCAGAGCGTCGACGACGGTCGCCGGTATAACAAAACCGACGATGACGATAGCCGCTACGACACAGGCAGAAATAGCCAGTCGGAACGTATGACGCGCGCGGTACGAGTACGGATATACCAGCGCCCAGATGCGATTGGCGCAGATCAGTACATGGATGAACGGAACGTACGCGGTGACAATCAGGCGCAGCGTCATGTGGACGGAACAAAATAAGGAATCATCTTCAGGAGAGAGAACGTTCTTGACCATCAGGATGAGACCATTCTGTAAAATACTATTTATTATGTTGCCAACGGCCAAAATAATTAGGTACACTCCAAAGGAGCGCTGCCAGACGTGTCTATCACAAAATAACGACAATAGGATCAGGTTAGAACAAATGGCCATGAAGCAGATGGTCAGTGTCACGATCTGGATTGCATTAAGGCCCGATGGATCTCCGGCGTCAGGTGATCCTTCCACACATTTTATAGTAGAATTCGATAAGGTACGATTGCTATAATCTGCCATAGCCCGTTTGCGGTTCGAATGTTTTGGCGAAGATTGTTATAACGGCAATGATAATAACAATTTTACTATACGATCTACCTCGTCAAGGTGTGTAAATTAATATGATCGACTTTCGTGCGCTCATCTGCGTGGGAACTGCTTTCCCTGACAAGGAATACGTAGATGCCAAATCGCATTATACGCGGTAGCTCGGCGTTGGTTCAGGTCTGTGTAAGGCATGAAAGCCGTCTTTTCTGTGTTAGCGTAGGAGGAAGCGGTCCCCAAGGAGTCCATTAACGTAAGCATAAGCTGGATTCGGGAAATAATTCTCAGTCAGTAAAATAATAAGCGCAACGATGCACCGCAGATTTACTCATGCTTATCAAAGACGCTATATTAAGCACTGCAGCGACACTAGAGGTGGCAAACCTTACCCGGTACTACCGTATAAGGACCTGCGACGCGTCATCGCGGCACACATCAACAACCGGTCGGCTGTTAGCTGCCATTGGGCTGTTAATCTGTTACCGTTACAACCGGCTTAGCATGCAAAAGAAAAGCAAGATAGAAGCAAATTTGCAACTGTTATTAATTTCCGGAAATTGGTAGCGTCACCAACTCGTATATTTACCGACAACGATTTATCCAGCCTTTCTCGCAGAAAGTTTATCGACGACGTGGTGCGCCAACTCAGTTGTCGGAAATCCCTGTTAATGACCGTTGTGATTACTTGTCAATTTCCAGTAAGCGCTAAGTTTTGTCGACGAACTGAAAGCTACAGAGTAAGCGAAGGGCCTCTATGCTCCAGAAAACGGGATTGTGTCGGTTACGTCGGTCACGCGCTTACAACGCTCGTTTTCCACTCAGATGCCAGTAGATGCAATTCAGTTTCCCGCTTCGATCCGGTCTTTTAGCGCCAGCCAACAGCGGTGTACAAATTGTATTTCCTTAGTATTAAAGCGATGCTCTTAAAGCATCTCAAGGGGAATTGCTTATACAGCGCTTCCAAGGAGCAATCGACTGTTCAGCTTGGAAAAAAGGATGCGAGGTCACGGAGCAGCGATGGCTAAACTTGGAAGCGGAGAAGATGGAAGTAAGATCAACATATCGGAGCACAGACTGAAATCCGTCCTAGAACGAGACTGATTTTGCGTTAACCTTTCTTAGTTAAATCACATGCGGAATGGACGATTTGCGTAATTATGGGTGACCACAGAGTTAATTCCATTACAGAAGATAACCGCTGTCCGCGGTTGATAAGCGGCAAGGATTTTTTCCCTGTGCAAATACGATGGAAGATTCACGAACATGAACGTCATGGATACGTTAGTTTCGTGTTTCCGAACAAACGGTCTCCTGAGATGCTGCACGTGATGCCGGTGGGTGCACCAAGTGGCCGCCATTTGTACAAAAGAGATGCAGCCTGGAAACACCAAGGTTTTACAATAAGGTTCCCACGCAGTTTGCACAAAACCCCGGTTGGTACACCCTCAAAATATTGCTCACAGCCAAACATAGTGCTGAATTGAATTAGTTTGTGATTGAATTTTATATGCGTGTGGTAGACACCGAGCGTCGATTACAGTGCATTGGCTATACATATACTGCTGATCACACACGACATCGTTAATAATTCTACAATTACAACAACGGTGTCCGAATTTTTCCTCACGTTTGTTGCGGCTTCTTGGCCTGTAGGAAGCACGGATTCAAGTACTGTTCTACAGCATTACAGCGGTGCGTTTTATAAGCTTAGCCGGCGAGCCTCCCGGTATTGACAAAGTTAGTTAGTGGTGTATTTATAAAAAGGAATTATTTTATGTTTATGCGCATCTGCTGGGTTGTTGCGTACCTGTACAAGCCGGTCCGGATGATGAGCACGATAAAGAACAGTGAAAAATGTAAATTCATGGGGTTACGCCAAACGCCACGCTACGCCTCACTGTTTAAACACGTAACATGCGTTTCGCTGGCTGGTGGCCTGCTGCGCACCTGATAATTTAATGAGAATACTTGTAATTGCCTGGCGGATGGTGGCTAGAAAACGGTCGGTGCAGTAAGGGACACTAACTGCGGAGCGCATTTACGCATTGTGGTAAACGTAGTGTAGTGGCCATCGTGCTCAGCGCTAATATCGCGCTAAATATGCATTAGCTGTACCTTTACGTGCTCATTACACGGACAGGCTTGTACAGATACACTTACCGACTGACAAAGTAGCCAGGTAAATGTCTCGTGTGGGCATCGGATGACAGTGCAAATTATCGGCGGCACATTCCGATTACATTTCCTTAAAACAATCAGCACATCCAAAAAACTGCTTGGTAATGCTCGTACATACTGTACTTGCGCGCTTACATATGTACATCTTAATAACCTTAACAGCTTAATCTTATAAAGCAGACAGTGGTGCGCCGAATGCTGTGTTTTTAGTTGGCAAATGAAACATATCATCGACCGGTGCGCTTGTAATATTTATTAAGTAATTTTATTTATGCATTTTTTACTGCTATTTGTTTACTGATAATTAATTTGTCGGAACGAGTCAAAAGGCAAAATGTTTACGATCGTGGTAGTTGCCTCCCTTTCGCTAATCTGCTCAGGTCAGTCGAGTGGAATATGCACAAATTGATTGCCCACATCGTATATAGGTCATCCAAATCTCTTTTTCTCGGTGCATTTGTACAATCGCGTATTCCCTTGAAATATTCTGCAGTTTCTTCGATTTTTATTTGCAGCAATTTCATAACAGAAGCAATGATAATAAAAAGCTAGCCTAAATTGGTTACGAGTATATAAATTGTTGTTTTACAGTGACATCTGCTCCATCGGATGCGGCTATTGCATGTGTACATTGTGACTTGGTTTGCGCCAATCCGTTACCAGTCGCCGCCGCTACGAATGCCGGTAAGTACGTCAAATAAATAAAATAGTAATATTATCCCAGGCTATTTAAAAAAAATCGTTTGGACCATAATGTTTCGTTGATTGTTGCAGCAACAAATACACAGTGCGGATGTCATCCATGTCAACCCGTCAATCCGTGTCCGGGACCTATAATTAACCCGGGCGGACCAATCATACTGAACCAAGCTGACAGCTCAAACATAATGTGCCCTTTAAACACCGCCGGATAGCTCTAGACAACAGCATTTAACCTCGAATTTTCTGCATGCGATGAGTGTTTTTAATGCGTTTTGAAGAGTTTGTTGTCCATATTAGAAGAAAACCTGTTAAAGATTTACCGTTCTGTAAAACAGTTATTAATATGCAAATAAATCCCATGTTAAGCTGTGAACTGTAAGTATTGAATTATGTTGCCGTACAGCACACCACGGTGTATCTAGTTTACTGCATGCCGCATTGTTTCAAAAGCTTGGATTACAGCATTCGGTACAGAGACACGTGTGAAAAGAAAACCGGTTGTTTTGTTGTTGTTGTGATAACGGTCCACGCAGATTCGATGAAAACGAGATGTGCGTTTTTGACGCCAAACGCCAAATTCTTAGCACAACGCGGCTTTTCCCATTGCGTGTTTGAACGAATCAAACGGGTTCATATACCAGAGAAATGACTCGAGAGTGTCGATAAATCTATATCACGCGAGTAACATTTCTTTGCTAAAATCAGAAGTGAATTGCATAACTCCAAAAAAATTGGTATCATCAGCTAAACCAGTTCGCATTCTGAGCCACTTAGTAAAAATGCATTGCACCTCAGCTGCTCTCCTGTTCCTGTTGGCTCTTGTACATTCTGGTAAGATATCTAATTTCTGTTCCAGGTTTTTCGCCGATCGTCATTGGTCACAGAAGATCCATAAACGCGCTGCATCGTGTACTTTCGTTGCAGGGAACTGCGGTCCAACGAACCTGGCGTCTCCAATTTCTCCTATTAGCCAACCTATATGTCCGTATATGTGCAACGTTTTCTGCATGCCACCATGTAAGGAACCGATATGACCTTTATTTAAACTACTGTTTATTAAATGTAATGATAGCGATCAAATATAATTGTTGTAACATGCTTTGCCATAGAGTACGCATACAGGAGTATGGCAGAGTAGAATATGCAGTTGCACATCGTATTATCCCGTAATGATATTAATATGACTGTTCCGGAGGAAACATTTATTTCGCGGCTTCCGGCGCTAATAACGGTTTTGACTTTTCAGCGGTTTCGGTTAACTGTGGATGCGGATGCACACAGCCAACCAGTCCGTGTCAGAATGTGGCTGGCGTTGCCAAACCCGTCCCATGTGCTATCGCCTAATTAAATACAGTACAGTAGTGGGCAGTTCGTTTTGCAGTTCAACTCACAAAACAATTATAGTTTTTAGATCTTTGTATGTGCATTTGTTATAGAAGTATAGAAACTGTCATAAAACTTGTGGATACTATTCTGTACATTTATTCGGTTGATGGCATCCGATATGCAAAGTGGTAGAATGACATTATAAACATTCAGCAAATTGACTGCAGATAAACAGCTGCTGCACGGTTCTTGCTTGCTTTAGATCTGAGACCATTAAAACTTCATATTTGTTTTCAATATAAACAAATGCAGCTACAGTACATTACAATACATTGCGGCATAAGTAACGAATCGATCCATTAAATTCCGCTGCTTTGTTTGTTTTTCCGTAATATAAACGTACGAGCATAACAAATGTTTTTATCTTCGCAATAAATGTACGAGTATATTATATGAATTGATGTTGTTGATTACGACTTGTAGATTCAGAAGCACATGCGCCGGTAAAAACCGGTTAGCGTTTGTGTGTAATTGTGTAAGTAATAACAATTACTGTTGTTTATGTCGTTCTTCTATGGCATATTCCGTGAAATGTGTTGTGTTTTCCGTTCAAGGCGCACTGCTACGCAGTACACACAGAGCAAACAAACAGACGTCGAATTCATTTTTATAACGAGTCGCACTGTTAACCATTCAATTTCTGCTGTTAACAAGAGCTGAAAAGTTAATAAATTGTTTTACGTGAGAAAACTCTCGGTTACCCAATCTTCCCAAGAAGATTCTGGAAAATGGTTTGCAGCGCCTCCATCGCATTCACAAGTATTGGCTTGTTCCTGCTGGCTTCGTTGCAATCAGGTAAAAACCGTTTTGTCGTTAGTGCATTTTGCACAAATGATGGGGTACTGTACGGTAGTTTAATCATGCTCGACGCGTTACTACGAGGCATTCCCTTTGCAGGGTACACTACTGACCCAACGAACTTGGTTTCTCCCATTTCTCCGATCGGAGGACCATGCGGGGTTACCTGCATGATCGCATGTGTTCCGCCGGGTAAGCGGTCGTTGTTAGTTTTTGCCACTCATTAAACTACAGTAGACTCTTTATATGACCCTTATTTTTTACCCGATCCCACAGTTATATTCGTGGCGACAGGGAAACCGGTCGGTTGGCGAATACTTGCCGGCGATAACATGTACGCATTAATAAACATTTTGCGTTTGTTGCAGCTGTCCGTATTAACTGTGGATGCGGTTGCACGAATCCCTGTCAGACCGGTGTGAAGGTGCCTGGAGGACCTTGCAATATAGCACTACCTCCTTAAAAGAAAGATCACATTACCACAGTATAATGATGTTATTTTTCAAATAATACTGCGGTGGTGGTGCAAGAAGAAGCAGGAACCGTATTATTTTTGGAGGACTTGATTGTTACCAATGTACAGATTATTATAACACAAGAAACGTTCACGGTTTCACCGTAGCGTTGTTTTGGTTCACGGTCGTTAATTACCAATAAAGCATTCGATGTTTATAAAGTATTAGAGTATGTCATAACTAACCTTTTTACTCGACAGCTTCCATGATAAGGCGGAAACAGCAAGCATAAGTGATCCATTGAGGAGCACTATTCTGTAAACAGTGTTGGGCAATCGGTTTACTGGGGAAGGTCTGCTCAAACTGACTGCGACTTAATGCTACCAGTTTCATAGGGAATTATTACGCACCGACCCCATAGTGGCACTGCAGTTAACGACAACAATACATACTGTGCTGAGCTGGAGACGACAATGCTAACGATTTTGTACTCTCAGTAGTCATGGACCTTTCGATCAGCTGCCTTTACTAGAACGTTATGCAAAACTTATCGCAAATTGCAGACGACCGCACAAAGTGATTTACAAATTACGCCCTAAAACTGACAGGTTCCAGTAAGTAATCACCATGGTTAATGGTAATGCCGTATATCCTAAGGGCTAAGTAACCCGAAATGGAATGGCCGTAATGGTGGATTACACTTTAATCGTGGCATCAATGTAGCGAGACCCGTGTAAGCTCACAAAACTGAAGAGGAAGCCAACTCATCAGAACTACCTGGGTGTGACCCGTAGTGCAGTTCAGGTGAAGTTTCAAGAATTTGTTATGTGTATAATTTGCACAGAATTTGTTAATGTTTTTGACAGCTGGCGTCTACCGACCAGACAAGTACAGGCGCAGTACGGAAGTTGTTAAAGGCGCTAACAACGCGGAAAACAGCACCGTACGGGAGAAAAAGGACTGTATATTGCGCATATTTATAAGGTGGGATTATCCAGCTGCTTGTGGAGTACGTCAAGCGATCGTTGGAAATTTATTCATCTCCTCATGCTTATGATTCGTGGTGACGGCTTCAGTGGGTTCATTACGTAAAAAGCACGTATACTCACGCCCGGATCATTGGTCATATTAAAAACATGCAGATATATAAGACCACAATGCCGACAAGCGTGAAAAAGTAACGGATGTCATTCGTCGTGCATACTTTATAGATTTTTGGCAGTGCGTGATATGAAGGAGAAAACAATGCCATCCACTGGGCATTTGACGTTTTCCAGTTCGTGTTCAAGTTGTACACGTCAACCATGAGGGATCGCCTTAGCTGATATTCATACGTACACTAATGTTACCGAGTCAGGACTGAAGGATTAAATGCCTTGCTCCTGTGGTGCTAATATGCTTAATCTTTTAATAAACGTTTGGGCTAGCGCTGATTGACAGCCACCTAAACTTTAGGACCTTCTTATTATACCAAACTGTGCAGAGTACTTTTAAATTTGGCTGATGGGCTGCATTGTGTTTCGAATGTGGTTAACCTTGTTGCATTATTGAAAAGCAGCGTTTCGTGGATCGTATGTTTGAGAGATACGAATATGGGTTAACGATGTTATTTATTACACAATCTTCATCCTTCGCATAATGAACAATACAACAATTACACCCGCATGGGTACTATACCCCCAGTGGTTAGTTCTGTGGTGCGTTCTGACCTTTCTACTTTGTGCCATCGGATTAATTCTCAACATTCTGCTCGTTTCGGCCATAATCGTTTCACCCGCCCTCCGCCACGGATCGGGCGTGCTGATCGCCCATTCTATCCTGCTGGAAGTGTTTTTATGTGCGATAGCGTTTCCTCTGGTCACTGCTTCGACGTACACACCCCAGTTTTACGTGTGGTCTAAACCCTTCTGTCAATACACGATGCTGCTATTTTACGGCGTCTTGTGGGCCGAGAACTGGGCCGATGCTACGATCGCCATTAATCGCTTCATCGCCATCTTTTTTCCGCATGGTTATAAGAAAACACGAACACCAACGGCTCTTGCTATAACCATACTGATCGGCTGGATCGTTCCGCTGTGCACGGTGCTGGTGTTGTTCTTCGAAATCGGAGCCGTTTTCCAGGCATGTATAAAAAGTGTGACTTTCTTCCCGGCAAATTGTGATCGAGCGACGTTTCTCAATTGTCCAATAGTAAGTGTAAGCACGCAGTGTTCTTGACGTTTTAATTTTGCAGGCTTATGGGCCGTGGCAGGCATGCGGCGCACGCCCCACCAGTTCCACTTACGCTGTAATTACCATAATCAACACATCAGTCCCCATTGCCATCATCGGGGTAATCTACATCACCATTTTCAGTACGATGTTTTTACGCAGTTTGTGTAGCGGACGGAAAACGGCGCCGCAAATTACCGTTAACCGCAGTCAGGGCACGGCTGGAGCACTGCGCAAGCGTTTAAAAAGCGCGCGTATGCTTTCTATCTCCTACATCTGGTATTCCATCTGTTACTTGCCGGCACCGATCGTCGCCAGTGCCGCACCCGTAGCGTACGGTTCACAACCGCTGATTTCTTTGTTCTTGAGATTACTGCTTGTGTGCTCGGGGACAACCAGTCCGGTAAGGGATTCAGTGAAATTTAATCAAACCCATGAATCAAACCGTCATCCAATAAGCTCATGTGAGCTCATTAAGGTTTTTTCCTAGAGGATTTTTTTCCTAGATGATATACCTGGCCATGAATGATGGGTATCGGCGTTCGACGAAATCTGTTGTCATGTGGATTTTAAGCGGTTGTCGAGACTTTTCGAGTAGCCGGCCGGAAACTGGAGGAACGGTTAGCGGGACAAATTATCGCACCAAGAAGGCCACTAGTGTGCAGGGTGCATTTAGTCAACCCACGCATCCCCAGAATTAATAATAATATTAATAATATGGAGTGTCCGCTGGGGAGAACCGTGAACTGACGTGCAATCTGAAAAGACTCTTGAGGGGCATTTATTACTGTTTTGTTACAATTTTCCTGTAATGGTATCAGTCTGGTTACTGGTATCAAGCGGGTCTCGCCGTTATGTCATACCGGCAATTCGAAGTAACAAGCAGTCGTGATCCATACCAAGCTTAAGTTAATATTCGCGATAAGTTGTTACAAAAAAATTTTGTTACTGTACTTATAAGTTAGGTACGGCGTACAAGTACCTGTGTATTTCATATATCCAGTATGTTAAGTTCCAAAACTTTATACTTACATTGCGTCGATGGGCTAAAAACGGATTTGCAATGATCTAACATCACCGTATCGTCACGGAATCTCAGTGTGTTTTACGCTCAGCTAGACTGAACAGTTTTCGTTTTTTTTAGCATATCATACCGGACCTTATTATTGGGTCTCGTTATTCTTTTGCAAGCTGCAACTAAAATCGCTACGCTGTAAGGTGTCCAATATCTTTAATAAGTATCGCGGAACAAGTACAAACAGCTTATCGTTAGTACTGTACATGTACCAGAAAAAAATGTATAACAGAAAAACTTCCTCAGTAGCCAATGATATCCTGATCATCCACTGGAAGAAGGCTGTAAGCTCGTTATCGACTAAAACATTATCCAGGGAACATGCACACTTCTGTTTTGCTAGCAGCAAAACATTGTTTGCCTTTAATACGAGTAGGAAGTACCGGTGTTTCTGTGAACGAAGATGGCTCAAAGGCGTAATTAGTGCATGACTGTTTCACACTTACGCAACACACGGTAGGCTGAAAACTTTAATACAGCATACTTCACGATTGCTGTTCCAGTCTAAATGGAAGCCTGTACTCGACGAGATTGTTATTTTTTTTACGGTGATACCGGTGCACATGCTAGTGTTATTTCGATGTTTTTCTGCGTAACATATTTACACCTTATAGCCTAGCCATTTGTTTGAAGTATTATAGTTTGGATGCTCCCTTTTGACATTCTAAAACTGTATCTGCTGCTCTTCTAAATCTGATTGTATAGAACTTTTGAGTGATCATAATTTTCACCCGATAAACAAGGATATTCTGCTTTTTTCTCCCTTATCCGCTGGTTTAAAATGTCCACAATTCGCCGAATCGGGAAGGTAGTTGCTGAGCAAACCAAACCGTGGATATTTAGGTTGATATATATTTTTTTCTCCATTTAAACAGGGTTTGGTAGCTCTGGTAACCGGCGGCGCTTCTGGATTGGGTAAAGCCACTGTGGAACGCCTGGCCATCAACTGCACCACAGTATTTGCCATAGATCTTCCCGATTCCATCCACAGCGTCCACAAGCATTGGCATTTCCCGCCGGAATATGATCTGCACTACAGGGCAGCCGATGTACGTTCGGAGTTTGAACAGTTGTATGTTGCATTGTTTCTGCTTCTCATGATGTGCTATTCTACAAATTTATTCTTGCGAAGAGTTCTTTGCACGCACGTACGTAACATGTCTTAATAATTCAAATATAGGCACTTTGTTAAATTAATACTACTGATCACGATATTTTGGTAACAGTGACACTGCGTGTACACATAAAATAACATGTTAACGTTCTAAGATACAATTGACACAGCTGTTATTTTTTACTTGGTTTTTTAGGTAACTGACGAAGCGCAAGTGTCTAAGGTGATCGAGGAAATTCGCGGGAAACACAAAAGATTGGACTATCTTGTAACATGTGCCGGTATCTTTGAACCACAACCGGCCTACCATTTTGATAAGAATAAGCCGCAAAGCATGGATGATTTTACGAGGACGTTCAATGTAAGTCCACGTCCGAGTCCAAAACTAAATTACATGTATTTCAGTTTTAAAACATTTTAGCACGATTAAACCAGTGCGTTTTTTCCTTAAATCAGTATCTGCATCAAAATTGTTGTTTTATAAAATGTACTGTACTTTATTAATATGTCCCATACTATTCTCTTCTGTTCATCTTATTGTAATAATAATAATAGCACCAAATGTATATTTATGATTGGGAGATGGGACAAAAATTAAAATTGTAGGAATATTTACTGCTTTATTTTACAGATGTCATGTTTTCTATTTGCAGGTGAATGTCTTCGGCACATTTAACGTAATCCGCTTAGCGGTGGGCTTGATGAAAGAGACGAAACCGCACAATGGCAACGAAGATCGTGGCGTCATAGTTACCGTGTCCAGTATTGCACGGGATGATGGGCCTGCGGACCATGCCGCTTACAGCGCCAGCAAAGCAGCCGTGGCGGGTTTGACCGTGCCGCTGGCTCGCGAGTTTGGACCTTTGGGAATTCGTGTGGTATCTATTGCGCCTGGTGAGATTACTTCATGAAGCTTCAATTATGCTTGTAAAAAAGCTGTATGATCACAAATCGGCAAGCAGTATTTAAGCTTATTACCGGTACATGCATAAATGCTTCGAATTTACGTAAGAGCGTCAGTTGTAATCCAGTTGCCGGCAACGCTATCGAGAAACTTTTTTGGCTTATCAACATTGTTTTTGTAATTTAACCACGCAGGAGTATGTAGATCTTGGATACAGTTTATCATTAATGTTTATGTGTAAATTAATACGCTTTGTTGGAATATTATGGTTAGGCCCGATGTACACACCGCTACTGGCGCGAGCCGGACAAGCAGTGGAAAAATGTCCGCAGTCAACAATTTTCCCACAGCGGTTAGGCCAACCGGAAGAGTTTGCCAGAATAGTGGAATTTATTCTGGAAAATCCCTTTGTCAACGCCACGACCATCAGCTTCGATGCCGGCTACAGGAACCCGGGTGGATCAACGTTTTCCAATATGTGATTGCTGCGGTTGACTTAATTTATTTGCCGCTAGGAAAATATGTTATTTACCACTTCCAGTTAGACGCGCTTGCCATTATCATTGACAATTAAGCGGTCAAAAACCACGGTATTCAATGCGTTTGCTGTAGCGTACGTATATATGTGTGCAAAATTTCTTTTAATTTCCTACTCTATTTTAAACTTCGTTAAAGAATTAGGAAAAAGCGATAAAGAAGCAAACGGATACAGAAAAGGGACGCATAATGTATGGCACGGTGCACATATCTGGTACAGAATTTCTGTTTTGGCTATTGTGTCCGATATATGGCATGTAGGACAGTACGAGTGCTGCATGTTACAAAGTACTTTAATAAAATTACTGGTTAATTCGATCTCTGTCAATTCTATAGTACATTTAACGTCGTTGTCCATATCGCACCTAAAAAGTTATGCAGTCTCTTTTATCTAATCTAGTCTTGCTAATCAAAGCTTGCTTTGCTATACGTGAATATTCATCTTTGGGTAAAACCCTATCTGCTTTCTAGACGAGCTGTAACTTAAATTAAACTGCCATATTGAATAACAATCATAATTGTAAAACTTAATCACATTTAATCCGTTCATGGCGTGGTGTAGCAAATACAACCCGGAATGACGTCACTGTAGTCCATAAAGGAAGCCTTCTTTACAATATGAATTTTTATGGTATATATACGGAACCGCACAACATGAAACATTTCTGCATGATTCACAGAATCATGGTTTAGAAATCAGAACTACCAGAGTTAAAACGTAAAACTAACACTGGTCATAGTCACATTAATGAGAAATTAGCTGCCTAACTGTATAAACAATCGGAATTAATGGTAGAAAAGGAACGTCGATATCAGCGCCGAAACTGCAGGGATAAATATGTGGATAAAAAAACTGGTGCTCTTTTTTTTACCAAGAAACGATGCGGCATTGTGGTCAAACTCTCCATCTCTGTAAAGAAAAGTAACCGGTGACTTGGTATTAAAGCCGATTATAAGGCAACATTTAATGTTGATCAGCGCTTATTCGTACGGAGTTTTACATGGAAGTTGTGGAATTGGCCAGACCGATGATTCCACAAGCAATGCGAGCCCCGGCATTTCCGCTAATCTTACTCTCCGGATTCCCGCCGCGACCGAGATCATCCTGTTTCTCGTGCACGACAATCATCCGTCCAATAACACTGCTGGGACCGACCAGCGTCACGATGTGGTCGGTGATGTTCAGCTGAGCAGTGCCTTGGGCTGCAAAAGCGTGTCGACTTAATGTATTACTAGTACTGATGTAAACATTTTTACGAATATGTTATACTATAAATATTCCTAATAATTAATTACGTTATTTAGAATAAGTTAAGCGACGCTGCAAAATTTGGGTTGCAGCACATACCATCGGACTGGATATTTCCGAGATCTCCAAAATGCCGGGCAACATCTTGCGGTCCGGCATGATCTTGACGGAGAGGATTGTAGTGAGCAGCGGCACTGGCGCAGCCCTGGCTGATGTCACCGAAGGTGTGCACATGGAAGCCGTGTTGCGCTTTAACAGAAAAGCAAAAATTTACAACTCATTCCAGCAGTTTTTATTTTCGAGAAGGTGCCAACATCCAATTATAATGTTAATAACGTAATAATGTTAATACGAGTACAAGTACACGACGGTACAGTAACGGTTATGACTTCATCGAAAGCCTTCTTATCTTGCAGAAGGTGCGTTACTATAAAATCACAGAACGATATTTATATATTATACGTACTGTTTGGTGCGAGCCCCGTAATGTTCCCGGAAATGTGCGTGCGCCGACGATGGTGCTCCTCTTCGAAGACAACTGTACCGTGCACCGTATCCGACTTAAAGAGAACGGCAACAGCCTTGCTGGTATACCGCGCGTTTACCCATTCTTCCGGTGCATCGCGGTGGTCAGCAGCGGCCACAAGCGCCGCAAGGAAGATAGTTATTGATACACATCGCATTTTCCAAGGATATTATACGAGAACAGTTTGGTCGGTAAATTCAGAACAATAATTTAATGTACTTGTGCTGTATGCGCGGTTTTACTAAAGACTGCTGTTTACTTCGTTCTTCTTGAATCGCCGTAATAATAAATTAAATAATAAGGAAGATAAACCTTTCATCCGCGTTAAATCACACTTGAATAACGCCTGCCAATTTGAGCATTCTGATAAGATACCATGTCATCGTGGCTGTCATCGTGGCTGCCTGTAAATAGTTTGCCGGCGCATCCAGCGCGCGGTGTAAACATCCAGATAGTGTTATGACTGTAGTATACCGGTAAAGCTACGGTTGGATAGCGTTCACGTAATCGCGGTGTTGTTGTGATGTTTTCTAAATTACACCTGGATGCAAAGCTTGCGCAGCATTAACGTGTACTTCGATACTTGTAATATGCGATTTGAATGCAAGTGCTAAATCATCTTGTTGTGTGTTGTGCGTAGTTCTGACTTTGAATTTTGAATATCATCACGCAAACACTGCAGCCGTAAACATTTTTCCGTATTAGTTGTGCGTGTGTGTCAAGTTGTGGGAATTTGTGGATCATTATAAAAGCACCAGCATGTACTTGGTCTTGTAGCTGTACCAAGCGTTGCATGCTTATAAATACAGCTGAAAGAAACAACCAACGTGGTTTATTTTTCAAGAACATTTGATACCCAACTGTTCAGTTGAACATTACACGCCTTTTAACATGTTCAAATAGCTTAATGACCAGATCGCAACCTCGGAAAAAAAATAAAAGGTTTAAAAACACACGGACTGGTTAAATAAAAAAACAAAGAATGAAGTTAGAGAACTCCTAAAATTTTAGAATTACTTTACTAACATGAGAAAATATCCATAACGCCCGGAAACAAACAGGTCTGTATAATATCACAGCAAGTCAATTAAAACGGCGATTATCTTCACATTACTAATAAAAAGTATAAATTGAAAAACCAGCACTTATCTGAAAGCCGGCGGCATGTAATAACCGAACCCGTCTCCTCCCGTATTGGAATACATTGGCTGACCACCGCCGTATCCCTTCGGCGGATCATCATAAATGACGTACGTGATGGACGGCGCCGGTGGTGGAGGATAGTACGGCTGTCCCGGGGGATACACCACATTGGCGTAGAACGTACACAAAGGTCCGTAAATGTAGGTATTAATATTGAGATTGTTGTTGTTGTTGACGTTGTTCGTGTTGGTGATCATCCCGCCGGTGTTCATGTTGATGGTATTGGTGATGGTGTTGGTGTTGCTGATGTTAATGTTGTTGTTGCTGATGTTGTTGCAGAAATTGTTGTAGGAGCCGTAGTTGATATACGTGGAACCCGGTCCATATCCGTAGCCTTGCATGTGGACACTTCCGATCACAATACACAGGAAGGTCAATGTCGTCAGCACCAAGTTCGATGATATTGAAATAATTATGCGCGCCATTCTGAATACCGCGCGGTTGTTCGTGCTGCTGAAGATAAAAGTTATGTATACCAGTGCCAAAGTAAGAATGTTGTTCTTCTGATCATTTTTTTGCCCTGCGAAGATGCGGAAGTAGAGCATCTCGCAGTTGGTAAAAGTGAACTGAGTGTGATTTGCGCGAAGAAAGTGGTGCTTGCAAATTACAATACGCTCGTTGATCTTATTGTCGCAACATCACAGAATATTTTATCTGTTGTACAGTATTCGGTAGTAGCGATGCTATGTGGCCTTGATAACGGAGAGATTTCTCCGATGAAAGTGAATCTGCGAATGGCGGCATACATTTCTGTACCAGTGTAACTAGCACAGCCGATCTTCTAAATCTGTTCTGATTTTTATCAAATACTACAATATTGCTATACTCATGACTACATTAATATTAATCAATATCACTGCATTTATGAGTATTACCGTACTGTAGCTTTTGGACGATCATAGAAGCTGCACAGAAGCATATACAGAATCTGACACACATTCTGATCGAAGACATTTTTTTCAGCTCTTTGCGGGTATCGAAAAGTATAATTAATTGGCACTTGCAGTTTCTTAATAATGTGAGGCAAAAACACAACGATTTTTGTTGATTGTTCGTCTACTACGAGTATTTTGAATCTGCAAATTCTAAGGCTGATTCAAATTTATACCAAGGATAACAGCATATCAGATACCGTATGTGATCCGTGATCAGCATATCAAATTTTACCGAACAAATAACAACGACTGCCACTCTAAGTTCAAAGATTCTGTCTGCTATCACAGATCATGCAATTGGCAATTTCAGATTTGGCATAATATATTGTACAAAACATAGTCATGGGACAGCGCCTGCTATATGCCTCACCGCGATAATATCGGGCTTTCGTTTTGCCGCCGTGGATGTTTGCAGTCATAACACCACCAGCAACTCCATAACAGAATTATTAATATGACGCGCACATTGCATTTAACTGATATTTACTGATTTTAGTGGCGCAGGTATTCCCATTCCATTTGCTGCTGTATGGCTCAGAAAGGTCATCAGTACTCATTTTTTGTACGGTGGCATATAATATCCGTACCCATCCCCGCCCGAATTGGAATACAATGACTGACTGTCGTAATTCTTGGGCGGATCGTCATATATCACATACGTAATGGAGGGTGGTGGCGGCGGCGGGTAGTACGGTTGCTGCGCCGGTGGATATACAACGTTAGCGTAGAACGTACACAGCGGTCCATAAATGTACGTATTAATGTTGACATTATTGTTGTTGTTGATGTTGTTCGTATTCATAATCATCGTTCCCATGTTGTTCTCGATCATATTGGTGATGGTGTTCGTGTTGGTAATCCCGACGTTGTTGTTGCTGATGTTGTTGCAGTAATTATTGTAGGAACCATAGTTGATGTACGTGGACCCGGCATATCCATAATTATTATAACCTTGCGACGCAACGGTTCCCAGGAAAACAAGCAGCAGGGGGGCGATTATAATGGCTATCTTTGCCCACATTTTACTAGAGTGATCGGCAACAGAATCAAGAATCTGAACAATTTTAACGCGGAAGAAAATTCTGAACGTGTTATTGCCATTGTGAATCAAAAGAGAGTGCGGAAGTAACACAAAGATGCTGCGGAATATTGTAGTTAATGTAAGGGATTTGTGGCAATAGCATTTACAATTCGTTCGATGGTCTTATTTGCTCTGATTTTAACGCGCGTGCTCAGGCTCCATGGAAGTCAGTAATTCTTGCGGTTAAAAGCGGCACAAAAGACTTTTACGCATAAACCTATACAACAGATAAATTCCGTTTTCGTACATACGTGATACAGCCTGTACATGAAAGTTTCCAGTATTTGATATGACAAAGATGTGCTTTCTTACCTTGAGATTGTTAAAAATTCGTTGACCTTTACACACAGCATCATTTCAAACTCCTTTTTAATGATTCTTTAAACAGTTTACAAAAAGGTCATATTAATTATTAATGATAACAAGAACAACAAAAGCTGAAAAATCAGGCACCTGCGCTCAAACTTCATTTTTTCTTATAACCCCTGTTATAATACGGTACGTAATTAAACGGCTGCAGACGATATCCACTCCCATAATTCGGCTGTGAGTATCCCACATTAGGCTGTCCATTATAGTACAGAATCTGCGGTGCGGAGTTGTACTGCGGCTGATACGGCGGATAATTATACCCGTAATTATTCCCATATCCATAGTAGTACTGCGGATAATACAACACCGTGGCGTTGAACGTACACAACGGCCCGTAGATGTTGTTGTTGATGTTGACGTTGTTGTTGTTATTGACGTTGTTGGTCACGATAATCACGCTCATCATGTTGTTAGTGATCGTGTTGGTAATCGTATTGGTGTTCTGGATGTTGACGTTGTTGTTGGCGATGTTGCTGCAAAAGTTGTTGTTCGATCCATAGTTGATGTTGACGTAGGGGGAGCTGCTGTAACTGCCACCGTAATTATACTGGGCGTTGGCGGGAATATGACAGAGGATAAATAGGATCCGCCACGCGCGTCCATTTTTCCGGTAAAGCATATTACGACTCCGGTGCTATCAGAGCATGTAGATAATATTCGGTAAAGTAGAATATCCAAATTCGTTATGTAACGATCGCTATCCATTTGAACACCGTTTGCAGAACAATCTTGTACCCAAACCACGAATAGCGCAGTCTGTTAAAAAATTAATTGTGAATTTTAAGATCAATGAACGGCGCAGCGCTGTCCATTGTGAGCGTCGTCGCTCCAATTTAGAATACCAACAGCATCACACTCAAACACAGCTAACTAAAATAATGTCTGCTACGGTTTACTAATGTGTTATTTCCAGTTCGCAGAAATTTTTTTCGCCGTGGCTAGGGTGAATTTCAGTGGCCTATGTCTACATTTACACAAGCGTTTCCAAAAATTTCCTTCATAACGATTTACCATTTTCGAGTTCTTTGGATAGGAAAAAGTAAAGGTCATCGCCGGCGCCGGTACGGCCGGAAATTCCCCGGAGGTGGCGGGTAATATGCATATCCAGGATTCCCGCCACCGCGTGGCGCTTTATAGTAATAAACAATGGGCGGTGGTCCATAACTCTGCGGTAAACTATACCGCGGCTGTGTATAACCACCGGCGTAACCACCGCCGTAACCGCCACCATACCCTCCATAATTATTGGTCGGACCATTATAATACAGCACTGTCGGTGTGGGTGCGCTGTAGCTATACGACGCCGTTTGCGTCGGTTGCACAATCTGCACATTGGCGTTCATCTGGCACAGCGGTCCCTGAATGTTGTTGTTCTGGTTGACATTGTTATTATTGGTCGGGTTGTTGATGACGACGGCCACCGACTGCATATTGCCGGCGACCACGTCGGTGATGGTGTTGGTGTTCGTCGTCATGGAGTTAGTGTTGGCGACATTGGAGCAGTAGTTGTTCATGGAGCCGTAATTAATGTCCACCGTGGGACCGGTGCTGGTTTCATATGACGTACTACTGTACGATGGATAACTGTATGATCCATAACCGTACGATGGATACCCGTAACCATAACCATAGCCGTACGGTGCGTATCCGTAACCGTACTGGCAGCGGACAGCAGGGAAGAAACAGCAATACCAAAAAAGGATTCGAAGGAGAATGCATCGACCATGTTTTGGGATGATGTTGCTATTAAGGTCACGAAAGCGCCAGGAAAAATTGCGCGGCATTTTTTGTCTTTAAGGTCATGGAATCCCTTCCACGAGCTTACAAATGGCTATTAGATTTGTTCCATTGAAATATATGTACTAAAGTATATGTTTTAGTAATAAATATTCAGAGACTAATTCACTAAACAACTGGAATATGGTAAACAATAGTTTTCACTGAAAAACCAAAATCATTCATAGTTACTACATTATTTACTCGTTATTTCGGGTGTGCGGTTCATTTCTTTGGTTTCAACTTGGATTTATTTTGCGCTGCGGGACAGAATTTACAGGAGTTATGCAGCCTTGCATCATATCCCGTTCTGTATGGTATAAGAAATAACAGCTGATTGCTGATATTACTCTAAATTAAGCGTGATACAATACTATTCGATTGGCGTTTAGTACTATGCTGCAAATTTTAGGCTCACTCGTGAAGGTCTGCACACGAACAACAAGAAGCGTTTCCGTTGACATTGGACGGTCGGACAACCAGTGATCTACATCGCTGAACGAACATACTCTGTAGTACTGTACATAGTCAAACTCACTACGATTGCAGCTAAATGCTAATGCTTTTCATAACAACATATTTATTAGTCCCCGGCATCAGTCATATCAGTTCTTTACATTAATTATCTTCTGATGACTTCTACTGCTAATTGTGGTTGCCTTTTGCGCAGTTACTAGTAATTTTACATTCACTTTGCTTTGCACAAATACGAGTACCATATTTTGTTTAGTAAATTTGTCTCGTTTATCTGTAATCTGTAGATGTCTAAACTACCCAAAGTCATACATGGAAAGTGCGAGTCTTGGTAAACACAAACTTCAGAAATGAGCAAAACGTGCTGCAAATCAAAATCAGTACACACTCTGCATCAGTTAGTACGATCATGATACCGGTATTGATGATAGATACCAGCATGTGATGATGATACCATGCGATATAGAGTGATACTGATCTTGTTGTTCTGTGGCTTTGTGCCTTGTGCATGACGTAGCTTTGTGCCCATATTAGCCTACAGCAATTCTGTGACGTGTTGCTTCTCCAGCGTACGTATTACTGGTGTTTAACGAGTTGTGGTGACTTGACTAGCCTAGCATAATTGATATTCTTCAACGGATAAGGATATAATATGAGAGTGCCCGTTTACTGGCTTGGCTACTCGAAAATAAATAAATCAATCAATCAGACCAGCACATGATAGATGCATGAGAAAAAACAAAATAAAAGATAAAAAACCGCTGAACGTCCACAGCTTTGTTACGGCTACAAAATGCGCTTATCAGGAAAACCGATTCTGGCAACCAAGCAGATAGTAATCCACAAGTACTCGTACTCCATAAGGTTGCCTTCATTCTCATATTGTACACCTGCGCCGAACGAGGTCCGCATGCTGTTGTATTCGTCGAATTCAGTAATCCAGTGAACGTCGACAATGGGAATATCACTAAATATATATTTTCTATCTTCATATGTATATCTCAGTGCCACAGGAAGCTCCGATGGGCCATTGGGGAGAGAAGAAAAGAAGCGTTGAAATGGTCACCAAACAAACAACTGATGGCCAAACAAACAATAAACATCTTGTTTACAAACATACTGCATACGACGTGCATTTAACACAAACAATTCGGCGTCACAACACCACCTTATGTTATTGATTTACGATACATCGTCCAACCCGGTGTACCCCATTTGTTTGTTTAAATTTTCCCCACCCATTTCACCCCTTTCTTTGATTAAATTTTCCCCTCCCTTTTTCTCCCCTTTTTTGTTTTTGCCAACATAACATGCATCATTTTTTTGAGTTTATCACTTTTTTTTGTTTTTTTGTTGCTTTAAAGTAACAAGTGAAACAGTTGTTTATCATTTTCCAAAAGTAGCCGTAGCACTGCAATACTGCAATCGGTATTTTTGACGATTTGTGATTTTTTGGTTTTTTGTTTTTTCACGAATAATAGGTGAAACTTTACACTAACACAAAAAAACTCGGATTTTTTGAATCACCACAGTTCTGCAAACAGGACACTGTATCAATCTATCTGAACAGTTATTGCAGCAGGCCAGATGATTACATGGGCGGAATACAACTTGGACTTCATTGTCTAAGCAGACCTTACATTGCACTTTCTCCAGGGGGTTATTTTCTCTTTTCCTAGCCGCATACGCTTGAGATACCTTGTCACAGATCTGCGCTGATTCCTTTGCTTGCTTGGTCTGAACGTCGTAGACATACTGTTCTCCTTTTTGTGCTATGACAAATGGACATATGGGCGACGCTCTGGCGTGCTCTTCCCATGCTCCATCGGTGGGAACCCATCTTTCAAGCTCTCGTCCGCAGTGAAAGCACTGGACGCAATCACCGTTCCCGTTATAAAACCAACCGGCTTGGGCCATGACCCTGGGATGCTGAGCTTTTGATTCAGGCCACTCGGCAAATGTAGAAAAACGAGCCTTGTAATCCATCATGTCTGGAAAGCGCACAGCGTAGCTATAGGTCCCCGGAATAGCAACTGGCGCTGACGCCCACACCTCCACGACGTCTTCTCCTTCCGCAGTAATGGGTTCAGGTGTTCTCTTTGACATTGGACAGTTTGGAAACAGTAATTGATGATGCCGCCTTGGGCTTCGGATTTTACCCCATCCGGACATAATACCGTCACAATATGCGCACTGAACTTCATCCCCGGTTCCACGATAAAACATTCCGGCTAAGGCCAAGTACGTCGGTGGAAGTAAACTATTGTCCCAATTGGTGTGTTTAAACGTAGCCAGACGATGGATCACATTACGCATGTCCATTTTGCTGTTTAATGACAAAAAACTGAATCAATAAAAGCCTGTTTCTAAAACCGAAATCTAAATTTTGCTTGACCATCGTAGTTTATATATAATACCAATAAGGACGAAGCTTCCCAAGTCTCCGCCTTTACACCTTCTAACAAGGCTTGCAGGGGAAAAAAGGCGGAGCAAAATTATCGATTTTTCAGCCAATCGCTACAGTCTTGTGTTGGGAAAAGTTTGACCAATGGAAACCATTGCTTTCCATAAAAAGGCGGAGTTTTGGAGGGATTTTATGCGAATCAAAATCCAACACTTTGCAGTCGCTGTAGTCGTGAGGATATAAAAGGCTAGCGGGTAAACCTTGAATTGTCAGTTGCTTTTCAGTTCCGTAAGAAAAATTGTTTGCTACTTGTTAGTCGCTTTTGCAATCAAAAATGGATTTTGCACGCACTTTGGAGATTTTGGGAGAGCTGAACGGATACATCATCTATAAGGTCAACAATGTGGTAAGTATGTTTTGGAACACGAAAAAGGTCAGTCTTGTTCTAGCTTTTGATCAGGAAACAGACGGTTACAAAGATCATGAAGAGGCGTTCCGGAAAGGAGTGCGTCTGGGATGTAGTGAAATTTCGGACGTCCTGAATAAGTTGAAAGCGGAACTATCCAAGCAGCGATGGACAAGGCAATCACAAGCAAATCTGCGGAAAAGGTCACTCTTGCCGGACCTGCTTGTATGGATGTACTTCTCAGTATCCATCCTAAATATGGGCGGATGATCCGCTTTTCACAACCCGGGCGCTCTTTACAGATTCCATACCGAGGATTTTGGATGTAGCTCGCATTGTACAGGACAGCTTCTGGGGTCCTGAGGAGTGTCCATGGATACGTAGGCTAACAGCATTTGACTTGTGTAACATAATGCACTATTTCGATTTACTATGTTTTTGGTCTTTTACTAATGACAATCTACAGCTTTGTCTGGGATACTTTTAGGTAGCAAAAGAAAATTAAATAGGATAAAAAAAAGGGCTAATGCCTCTATTCGCGACAGACTGAGTAAGAAAC